AATTGAGCTCTAACTCATTTTCTCCCTTCGTAAGTTTATAGCACAACATTCCTTTCTTGTTGGTATATTTGCCCAGTTGAGGCTTTCCATTGCTCCCAATCACACAGTGGTGGGGGAAGAGAATGTATTCATTAAGATAAAATAGTATCTAACAAGTTAGGTATGCACAAAACATCGTCCACAACTGATGGGGGTTAACAAGAGAAGAAGCTCTATGAGCAATTTAGTGATTGCTGTTTACACTTTGAGAAAGGGCATTTATGGATAGACAAACAAAACATAGCCAAACAAATACCTTGGCACAGATCATTGTTTCCACCATGAAATCTAGCAGAAGAACTTAGCTCTCAGCATCAGTTCTTCCCTGTGACCAAGACGCATCGCACTGTCAAAGTCAACAGAAAAGGTACAGTCTGAAAGAATGTTGCTTGCAATGTTTGAATTCTACGCTACAATCATGTGCACTTCTGATGGAAAGGAAGGGGTAGGAGGGGAGGCAAGAAGATATTATGAGAAGGTAAGTCAGTGTATTTTGATTTTGAATGACTGGAGGATCTAAAGGAATAATGCAAAGTATCTGTATTTGGAGATTAGCAATGGTAGGTGACAATACTAGCCCAAAACAAATCTAAATAAATGTTCTTAGCAAGTGATGTTATACAAAATGCAAAGGACAAGTTAATAAGCTTGTTTTAAAAAGTGAGGAAAAGATCCACAAAATAGGGGTATGTTGTAGATGTTGCCTAGCAAGGTTGGGTATCTCAGTTCGAAGCAGAATTCTCAGACTTTGTCACAGCTGTCACAGCAAGTCACAGTTGAAGTGTCACCAAGTGGTACAATTCCATTTGTACCTTTGTAACCAATTATCTTTGTTTCTTAAAATATGTCAAATAGAGAAATAATCTTTTGGTGTTTCTCAAGGTATAGAAAATTCATTGAGAACAGTTGGTAAAATTCACTGAAAATCAGTGGTATCCTTTTTGTTAATTTTCTTGCATTGAAAACCTGGTTCATGATCCAGCCTTCCTTCAATGGAGGAAAGCTATTAAAAATGGAAAATACAGTTAATCAGTTAATAATACATGAGCTGTACTTCCTCTCCACTGCTCAATGTCAGTCTCTAGTTTCCTTCTCAAAGCACAAAATCACAGAATGGCCAGGGTTGGAAGGGACCTCAAGGATCATGATGCTCCAACCCCCCTGCCACATGCAGGGCCACCAACCTCCCTATTTCATGACCAGGCTGCCCAGGGTCCCATCCAATCTGGCCTTGAACACTTCCAGGGATGGATGGGGGCATCCACAGCCTCTCTGGGCAGCCTGTTCCAGTACCTCACCACTCTTCCTGTAAAGAATTTCCCCCTGACATCCAACCTAAATCTTCCCTCCCTCAACTTAAAGTCATTTCCCCTTGTCCTGCTGTTATCCACCCTTTCAAAGAGTTGTTTCCCCTCCTGTTTGTAGGCTCCCTTTAGGTACTGAAAGGCTGCAATGAGGTCACCCCGCAGCCTTCTTTTCTCCAGGCTGAACAAGCCCAGCCTGTCTTTGTAGGGGAGGTGCTGCAGTCCCCTGACCATCCTTGTGGCTCTCCTCTAGACAGCTCTCCTCTCCAACAGCTCCCTGTCTTTCCTGTGCTGAGAGCTCCACACCTGGACACAGTACTCCAGCTGGGGCCTCACAAGAGCCGAGTAGAGGACACCTCCCTGTCCCTGCTGGCCACCCTTCTGATGGAGCCCAGGATACCATTTGCTTTCTGAGCTGTAAGAGCACACTGCTGGCTCATGTTAAGCTTTTCATCCATTAGGACCCCCAGGTCCTTCTCTGCAGGGCTGCTCTCAAGGACCACTCCTTCCAGTTTGCATAGATGCCTGGGACTCCATCTGCTGCATTTTGACATACATCTTTCCTTCACCATCTTTTTTTTTCTTTTCTTTCTTTTTTTTTTTTTTTAAAGCTCAATGCCAGCAAGAATCTTCTGGTTAGGAAAGTGCTGAAGAGTGTGTATGTCTCAGAAGACTTTGAATTCATTATGTCATCATAATGATTTGTAGAAGATGTCTTCAAGGTCTTCTGAAAGTTCCAAACCTCAATTAGCTGTTTCTTGCAAACCTATTCCTTAATTTGCTGAATTATTTTCTTTTGGTAGGTAATAGACATGGACTGGATTTTCTTCAGAGTTCTTTATCTTAAAGCACATTAATTCCTAAGTTACTTAGAAGGCTCTTTGATAGAACTTCTACGGTAGTCACCTGAAATGAGACATTTCCATGTATATACATTTCCAGGATTATTTACTTTGCTCCAGATCACAAAAGCATAAGCATATGATGCAAGTTCAAGGTTGCAATTAATGGATTTCTGCCATGTCTCTTATATGAGAAACCTACCACGTAGTATTTCAGGGTGAGTAAACATTACTTAACGGAAAACCTCTCTGTGTAGTGCACAGACATCCACTGATTACAGAATAAATATTTGTTTTAAACTATGCAAAGAGAAGGGCAGAAAGAGTAACATGTTCTGTGGGTCAGTGAAGGTTACAGTGTCAATCAGGACCTCCTCCTTGCAGCATCAAGTTCTCAGCAGTAACTAAGAATATGGGGCCAGTTGTCTTTCTGCAGTACTATAGGAATTATTTCTATCTCACAAGTGATATTTGAGACCATTCTGCCCAGAGACAGATGAGCTCTCAAATATTAAATATTTACCAAATTTCCATAAATGCCGTTGATGTGAGATTATCTTGTTTGTCCAAATGGACTAAATAAAAGAACTGCTTAGACAGAATGTCATTATCTATTTAATGTGCTTAAAATGACCTGTGGGATAGATCCAGTTTTCTTATGCACAGCAGCATTAAGGCCTTCACTCTCAATTACCTTGCCAGTTTGTGGGATGATCTGCAGCTCTGAGCTGGGCTTGAAGTTACAGATTTAGATACTGAAGAGCGTGATCCACAAAGCCTAAACAAGCCAGGAAGAAATCTCAGGAGGGGAAGTGGAGCTCAAAACCGATGCCTTTCAGAAAAAGGGAAAAGTAGGCTTTGGATCCATGCTACTCCGTGCCTTTAGGTGTCTTAACTTATGTCAGCTAATTCCTGCACGAAGCACACAAAAAAAGGAAACCGAATGTCCTGAAGCTTACCATAGAGTGATGTGATGTGGTGGGCCTGACTTCAAATCTCCCTTGGCTCCATTTGGAATAAGGATTTGAGCAAAGCAGAGATAGCACCACTATCACTAGCCCCAGAGCAATGAAGATGATTATCCAGGTCTGCCATGCGGAAACTCATTTTCTAGAAATCACTAAATATTCATTGGCAAAGGAGAAATAGAAAGTGACTATTTTCAGTTGGTGATTTGGGCACTGAGTTGGGACACTCAGGATGAAGTTATGCCAATAAATACTTAACTTGTTGACATAGTCATTCAATATTCATTGGGGCGTACCTGGGAGTTTGACCGCTGCAACCTACTAGCATGCAAGCAATGAACCTTTGCAGCCCTCTCTCCTTGCATGACAAACGTCACTTTGTTTACACAAGGCAAGACTTTTGTAACTGAGAGGCATCCACCTCAGGCCCCTTGCAGTCAGTATTTAGTTGCCCATCTGTGCGTAGGAAAAACGGGTTTGCTGTTTCAGCAGCAGCAGAGATCCAAAGTGCATCCCTGCTATCCCATTCCAGTGCCTGTCCGGGCCTTTTTTCTACTGTCATTCTAATATTAACAGCTCCTGCCTTGAAGTACCACAATTCAACCTCCTCCAGGGTCTGTCTTCCCCCTTCCTCCTCTGGCTAATCATACAGCAGAACCCTGTGCTGAGGACAGGAGGGGTGCCAGCTGAACCAAAGGGCACAGAATGCTCCAGTGGTGTAGGCAGCGCCTGTCTGCACAAAGCAGGAGCTGGAAAGCAAAGCAGATTATAAAGTAGTAACAGTATTTATAAATAACCGTGATTCTCCCCTTTTATTTTAGTCCAAGTTTTCAGATCGTTTTCTAGCCCCCTTGCTGTTACCTTCCCATCTCTCTCTCCAGGCCGAGTCCGCCCTTCCCAGAGGGCTCCCGACGGCTCTTCTCCCAAACCCTCCCCCAGCTCCCCCGCCTCCCGTCCCCGCGGCTCTCTCCGCAGCCGGGCCAGGCCGATGAGTGCCGCCCTCGGCCGCTGCCGCCCGCGTGGCCGCGCCGGGCAGGGTGGGGCGCCCCGGCCGTTGTGCGGGAACAGAGCGCGTTGGGGGCGCGGGGCAGCGGGCGGGGGCAGCGCAGCGCAGGAGGCGGGGCAGCGGGCACGATGATGGCGCAGGGCAACAGCTGCAGGAAGATCGTTTTCATGTGGTCCTTTGACTATGGCCAGACGCCTCCGCCGCCTGAGGTGAGAGGAGGCCTCGGCAGCGCCCAGAAAAGCCCGCAGGGTACCCTGCCCCAGCCAACGGCCGCTCTGTTCCGCTGAGTAGTGGTATCTGGGGGAAGGGACCTGGACCCCAGGTAGCGCACTTTTCCCCAAAGTGTCTTCCAGGACGCAGGCTGGGAGAGACCGCGCATAGCCTGTGCCCCCTGGAGGGGATTTGGGCAGCCCCTGCACGCAGACCTGTGAGTGCAAAGCTTGGTCCCTCGGAGCACCCACAGGCTCCCCGACTGCTGTCATGGAGAGCTCGTGGCACCCTTGGCTTCCTCAGTGCCACTGCAGAGCTCAGCTCGGCTTTGGGCATCCAGACCTGCGAACAGCCAGATTTCTACAGCTGCCCAGCATGTTATAAAATGCACAGTGCAAAGGGCAGGTCTGGAGTGAGCACCATGAGAACACAGCTGGACTGCCCTGAAAGCCTGGTTCCTATCTCTAGGTAAAGAAGAAACAGCAGAAATGCCCAGAAGCAAGGCTCTTGGCCAGAGGCAGGCTGTGTGCTTCGGATCACTGCACTCCCTCAGTCATTGGTGCTTCCCCAAAGACTGTGGGTGGAGCTGCCGAAGGCCACAGGCTCAATTCCTGTTTAAAGATCCCCACTTTGTGTGTGTTTAGGGTCATTTGCAGATAACACAGCAAGGGTAGGCTGAGCAAAAAGCAATTTTCTGAGCCGAGTCCTCATTCCCTGTCTTCCAGCCCCCCATGCCAAAGCAGAGGCTTCTGATCAAGGGCGGAAGAGTTGTGAATGATGACCAATCTGTGGAGGCTGATGTGTATGTGGAAGAAGGAGTGGTGCAGGATGTGGGACCAAACCTAAATCCCAAGCCTCCCAGTGGCCTCACCGTGCTGGATGCGACCAACAAGCTGGTGATCCCTGGGGGCATCGATACACACACGCACTTGCAATTCCCTTTCATGGGCACCACATCAAAAGATGACTTCTATACAGGAACAAAGGTGGGTGCATGTGACCACTGTGCACATACGCTTTTCTTTCTGTGCATCTGAGCTTTCTCAGAAAGAAACATGTCTGCTGATTATGCGGTATTAATGCTAACGGAGAGAAAATAGCATTCCTCAAGTAAAGGCAATTATGCTGTTTCTTGGTTCAGCCACTGTAATAAGCAGTCAGGATGCCCAAAGGTGCATCCCACTAGCATGTTCTTTGGGTTCCTTCAAAGACTTTGCTGGCTGCCAGTGGCAAGTGTTAAGAATGGTCATTTACCCTGGCTGTCGCCATGCCGAGTGCAACTCACCTTGGAGTATGGGCTTCATGCTTTTCAGAACAAAGGTTAACTAAAGCAACAGTGCAACTCCCCCAGTGTGCTGGGAGCACTTCTTTGGTAACCTGATCTTTCTCCTCTGTTAGCATGAATGCAAGTTTTTCATGTCATTCACTTCTGTCCAGACTGTCTCAGTGAGAATTCAAATACCAGTTCAAATGCACTTTCTTAAAATTATCTCTTTTCTCCCATTTATGTACTTGGAGTTCTTTCAGATTTTCATCTGATCTCGTTGTATTACTTGCATTAGCAGTTATCAGTTATTAGTAGTAGCAATGCATCGTCTTTATAGAGAAAAATACTCATACAGAGCTCCCTGAAATTCGTAAGCTACTTAGTGCTTTGCTGTACAAGTTGAAATTCTTTGCCCACAGAAGAGATGACATTGCCCTGTGAAGTGGCTGGTCTGTGAGGCAGCATCCTCAGAGAGCCTGCTACATCCTGTCCATGAGATGGCTTAACTGTGGTTTGCCAAAAAGGGGAAAGCAACAGTGAAACCTTTCTAAAGAAGTGGATTTCACTGATGTTTTCTAATGTGAAAAATACTAGTTTGCCTCTTTAAGATAGCTGAAATAAGTTAAATTAACTCATTTTTACAAGTGGTAGGATGCAGTAAGCACACAACTATTAAGAGCCTTTTAGCTTTGCAGTCCTGCGTAGTTTGATCCTCTTCTTTAGCAGAAAATTTCTTTTCTTGCTTGCTCCATGATGCCATTGACAGGAGAACTACAAATGAGCTGTTATCCTTAAATTACTGCCGTGTTTCTGTCAATAACAACTGTCACTACTCCCAACTCCACACACATTTGTTTCCAGTGCTGCTGTTATTTGGAATGGAAATATTTTACATGCAGCTTTAAGCACAATAACTGTTCTTCTCTGTGTGTTTGGAAATTACGGTGCCTTATTAAATAGGTTGTAATTATTATGCACAAGCTTGATGAAAATTATTTTGCCCATCACAGCAGATAAGTTCTGGTAGAAATGGGGGAATCTGTTCTTATATGGGCCTCAAAACGCTTTTTAGTTATCAAAATGGCTTCCACAAGCAGTTTTTGGGCATTGCGTTACTTTTTGTGATAAACTGATAGAAACACAGGTCTCACAAATCAGATTTCTTCCGAATGCATTACAGGATTAGATGTCTGGAATACTTAGTTTGTATAATTTACAGTACTTGAATATATCCTTCAATGTCTTGGGGTTTTAAACTACTTTTGCAACAATCCCTTATTTCTCTCTGAAGACCTTATTTTTGAAGGTGTTTCCAGTTACACTAAGGAGATCCAAAGATTCAGATTAATTCAAATGTAGATGCCTAGGCTATGAAATCCCAAATTAGGAAAGGTTAAAAAAAAAAAAAAAAAAAAAAGGAATTATTTGAATTAGCATTTAAGTTTATCAATAATTATTTGTACTGGAGGCAGTGGACACAGGAGCTCCAAAACACAAACTGCATCTAGAGAACAGGATGTCCAAATAGCACAGATTGCATATCCAGAACAGGACATCCAGTCAGTGACTTTGGTGGCCAGCAGGAGGCTTTAGCTCCAGTCCAATGATCAGAGGTCACAAAGTTAGTATTGTGGACCATCTTGACCCAGGTTAAAGTGTGGGAAGTGTTCGGAGCTGTTTACCCAAGATCATCATCTAACATGCATCTTGGCAGGAGAATCGTAGAGGCAAAATTGCATTCCAACTGCTGTAATAATAAGCTAAGACTTATCTATTCAGTTGAATAAAAGAAGGCATTTACAAATGTTTTGGGAAGAAAAGTCTTTGGTTGGAGTAGAACCTGTGGGATTTCTTTACCTTCAAACTTAAAAATATTCTTTAATTTTAAATCTCAATTAACAATTAAGAAGCTAAGATATTTCGTTGGAAAAAAAAAAAAAAAAAAAAAAAAACTGATAGTTTGAAAAACTTTTCCTTAGTTAGTGTTCATCACTGATTCAAAAAGGTGTCACTCTCCAAACGTCTTTTTGTTTGCAAAATATACTGACTTATTTGCAGTTTCAGTTCTGATTGGCAGTCCTTTGAACAGAACACAACAACCCATTAAAAAAAAAATTCTTAACCTGCATGGGGTCAAGCCAAATATTTTTTCTTGATTGAAAGAAATATTAGAACTTTGTTTAGAAGGATCTGTGAGCTTCAGTAAGGCAAAGTCAAACAAGCGTCATTTAGAGAAAGAAGAAATGGGTTTATTTAGAAACTGAGTAATACAGCATGAACTGTGTTTACTTTGATCTGAATAGCTTGTAGCTGTTATGCAGAGGGATGTTGTTCAGAGCAATAGAGAGAATTTCTCTGGCTAGCTTGGAATAGACCAGAAATTGCAGCAAATAAATTACCTTACTGGCAATTTCCAGTAGTCTAGGATTTGGTTTTTGGCAGTGACTACCAGTGAATCAGTTAAAAAGCACTTTGAATCTTCTTAGCATATATAAAACATTTAATAGCAGATAGCTTATAAACAATTTTGGGAATCTACTATGCAGTTTTTCTCAATTATACCCCTCCGGTAACAACAACAACAAAATTTTTAAAATACTTTTAAAATCCTTTTGGTGTTAGACAAGAGTTTGGTGATTTTTACAGCGAACTTTTAAACGAAATGTTATGGTATTTATTCCACTGTGTCTCTGTCCCTTAGTCTGTTTGTGTCATACAGGTTTGTTTTTTCAACCAAATAGATTCTGAGAATGCATATCTCAAGTTAGCTGGGGTTTGAGGCTGCTCATCTTTCTCTGTGAATTCATCCACTGCACAAGGAATCGGAGAACATAGCAGACACTGTATTATTTTTCTTACTGATTACTAAATATTAATTTTTTGTTTTCAGGCTGCTGTAGCAGGAGGCACCACTATGATCATTGACTTTGCCATTCCTCAGAGAGGCTGCTCTCTTATTGAAGCTTTTAATAAATGGAAAAGCTGGGCAGACCCTAAGGTTTGCTGTGATTATGCACTGCATGTGGCTGTTACCTGGTGGAGCGACAAGGTACACAGAACAGGCATTTTTCAGTTCCATGAATTTGTACCACACCTGCCTGGAATTAGTCCTCAGGAGGACAATGAATGTTAATATGTTTTTGTATGTACAAACTGGAATAGTCCACACCTTTATATGTATTTGGGAAAAGAAAAAAAGTCTGCAGATAACCTACATGTTTGAATAATATTGCATGAATTTGATGGAAAGGGAAAGGGAAGCAGGCTGTGCAATGTCAAGACCAGCCAGAAGGACAGGAGGTGTTTGCATAAATTTTGCCTTTTCTGTCTGAACACTCAGTAATCTGTGTTCCTGTTAAATCTTGGGGTAGCGTTTGTGGTGGTGTATTAATAAGGGCATGAATGAAAAATATGGCAGTTAGCTTTATTTGCAAAGGAAGAATTTTGATCCTGAGTAACTGCGCTTATATCACCTTAAAGAAAAGCAGAGTTGGAGCCAAGAATTTCTGAAACATGAGATTACCTAGAAAAAAATTTGGAGTCTAAGTAAGGAAGGATCATCATTGTTGTATAAAAATTTGCTAACTGCCTAAAATCTTTACCAAGGAAATGAATGTTTCAGATCTTGACATCTATCTGAACATGACCTGTATTATATAAGACCACTTTGGATCCTTAGAGAATTTTCATCAGTAGCTGGATATACTAATTAAATTTCATTTTAAAATATGAAGTATTTCCTCTAATTTTTATCCTTCAGAACACATAAGCCATGCCCTTCTCATTTGCTATCCGCTCCTCAAGATTTAAAGTCTTCATTAAAGTTATACATTCTGTGGAGTTCCTTCCCATAGTGGTTAGCTTTTTTCTTCCATATTTGTGCCAGATTGGGGTCTTGTGTCAGACATTTATTTGTTTGATAATTCCAGTAAAGATCATGCTTCAACACAGAAGTCTTTGATTTTTTATTAATCTTTCACTTTTCTTGGGCAGATCCAAGCAGATTACTAGAGAGAAGATGAACTATAATGCTTTAATTTTTCTAAAGAAGCCCATGGAAATTGTAATAGCACCACAAATATGCAAGAAGTACTGTCACCATCATTTTACTGGGAAGGGAGAGCTCAAGTTCTAGTGGTTGGTGACCCTCCCAATGGCAGGGGAGTTGAAACTAGATGATCTTCATGGTCCTTTTCAACCCAGGCCATTCTATGATTCTAAGTTAGTTAATGGGTAAGTGTTACAAGTTGAATACATAGATTTTGGTATTATTTTCAACATAAGGTTTTCAGCGGAATAAAATTTTACTTCACTGTCTTAAAAATAGATCCCTTCCAGTATGTGTATTGGAGTTAAACGGAGTCAACACATATATAACTTGGGCTGTTTGAACTGAACATATTTTTGATGGGTGAATAAAGCCTGGCTGTTGGTTCATACCAATTTCCTTGTAGAAAGTTAACAGGTAAAATTTTGTATTGTTGTTTTGTGAGAATTGCTAACTGTCTTTCAGGTGAAGGAGGAAATGAAAAGTCTTGTTCAAGACAGAGGTGTCAATTCCTTCAAGATGTTTATGGCCTATAAAGATTTATACATGCTTAGTGATGATGAATTGTACTCAGCTTTCTCCTGCTGTAAGGAACTTGGAACAATTGCTCAAGTTCATGCGGAGAATGGGGAGCTAATAGCACAGGTGGGCATTTGATATTTTGTCCATCAAAGTCAGAAATATAACTTGTCCTGTTATCTAAACACTCTAGAGAAAAGCTTTTTTCCCCTATTTAAACTCCAAGGAACCGAAGAACTACATCCCAAAGGATGTTTGTGATGGGCGTAAATATTTTAACCTGGAATACTGGGTTTAATACAGATGGGAAGCAAATGGTTCTGTCACAATTAGAGTTATACTTTCCATATAACACATGTACTTGCAATGTATACTTGGCTGATAAATAAAGCATCAGGCAAAGTCTGAGGTTGGTTGAAGGGGAAGTTCTTGGTCAGATATTTGCATGTCAGGTGTATGATGCCTGACCCTATGTAGCACAATAATAAATTCCCTGAGAAAGATAGTATTGTAACTAACTTGTTCCTTCGCAAACTTACTGCAGTTGTCTGGTTTAGGATCCATTTGGCAGACTGTATGTTCACAATACCATGGTTTCACTTAAACTGACTCTTCAATGTTTTTATGTCCAGAACACGAAGAAGTTGCTGGCAATGGGGATAACTGGTCCTGAGGGTCATGCTTTGTCACATAGTGAAGATGTGGAAGCTGAAGCTACGCATAGAGCAATTATCATAGCAAATACCATAAACTGCCCCCTTTATGTAGTCCATGTGATGAGTAAGTCTTCAGCAAGGATGATAACCAATGCACGAAATGAAGGTAAAAGTCCTAATTACTTTATGCTTGGCCATAGCATCGAAGGGAGTGTCATCAGTGTCTCAGTCTGCAGGGCTGCCTTAACCCTAAAAGCATAGGTAAACTCCTTGCAATGGGATCTTTAAACTGTGTGTGTGGAGCTAAGAACTGTGACAGGACAGTTACTGAGGTTGAGACTTTCCCTTCTCCCCAGAATAGCCTTTTTCTCCTTCATGCTAGATCTTCACAGTTGAAGAGGTAGCCAGAACAGCACTGCATTAAAAACAATGTGATGTTACAAAAAGAAGTAAGGAGCTTAGATGCAACTGAATCTCCTCATTGTCCTAGACATGGTCACTAATTTATGTCTAAAGAATGTTATGTGCACAGTCAATTTAAGATACAGTCATCTCAGTGAAGCTTACATAGCTTACAGGCTATAAGTCACTTACTGAAGATCTGTTGAGGCAAGGAATCTCTTGGTATCCAGGCATAAGGAATCTGCTGCAAGCATAACCTCAAGAGGTGTCACTGCTCAAAGGGAGATACTGTTTTGCAGCCAGCTACTGTGCAAGAGGGCTCAACAGGCTGCTCACTATCTATGGGATAAGATGATTAACTCATAGTCATGTTTGTATACCAACAATATTAGTGTCTTCCAAATTTGGCTTGAGTCAAGACACTGACCAGCCCTGTGGTGAGGTGGGTGCACTGTGCAAATCAACCCTTTGCTATATTGTGTTATGTTTCCCACACCACTTTGAGCTAGATGATGGAACCGTTGCATCCATCATGGCTGCAATTTCTGGTCATCTACTTAAGTTGGATACAGCTATCGCAATTGCCACTGGTAGTTATCACTTGAGCAGAGTTTTTGGGAATAGAGGTCAGGTTCAGGTATTGGGGGAGTGTACTGTGACCAGCCTGAGGTAATGGGTATGTTTCTATTCTCCTTCATTGAGTTACAGTCAGCAGCTGGCTGAACATGAGCCACCCATGTGCCCAGGTGACCAAGAAGGCTAATGACATCCTGGCTTGTATCAGAAATAGTTCAGTCAGCAGTAGCAGGGAGGTGATCACCCCTAGTGAGGCCACATCTTGAATACTTAACTATGTTCAGTTTTGGGCCTATCACTACAGGAAAAACCTTGAGGCTATGGGGTATGTCCAAAGAATGTCACTGAAGCTGATGAAGGATATGGAGCACAAATCTTATGAGCAACAGCTGAGGAAACTGGGATTGTTTTGTCTGGAGAAGAGGAGGCTCAGGGGAGACTTCATTGCACTGCAAGTACCTGAAGGAGGTTGTAGAAAGGCGGGGGTCAACCTCTTTTCACAGGTGACTAGTGATAGGATGAGGTATAGTGGGCTTAAGTTGTGTGAGGGAAGGTTCAGGTTGGACATTAGGAAAAAATTATTCTCAGAAGAGTGATAAGAAATTGGAATAGGCTGCCCAGAGCAATGGTGGAGTCACTGAGTCACTGTCCATGGAGCATTTTCAAGAGAAGGGTAGACGCAGCACTTAGGGACATGGTTTAGTGGGCATGGTGCTGATGGACTGAGGATTGGGCTAGGTGATCTTAACAGGTTTTTCCAACTTAATGTTTCTAGGATTCTATAATTTTCAAGCCTATATCAGCTACTTAGATGAGAAATTGTGCAACAGTGACAATGCCATATTTGTACAGACAGTGGTGTTACATGATGAGGACATGTATTTACTGGGCACTTAGAAGTCAGGGTGATGTTGACAGTGTCCAAAAGTTTAAATTCACTCCAGAGAAGGGTTTCTTAGTTCATGCACTACAAGGTTCATAATCTGTTCTGGCCTGCCAGAACTGACTGATGCTCTTGGCCATCTGTTGGGCAGACTAAAAGCTGCCTGCAGGTTGCAGGAATTAGGTTGTTGCACGTGTTCTTCTGTAAGTGCCTGTGGAAGCATGGCACTGTGGGGACATTATATCAGTGGAAGGGATAAGACTGAAGCCCACGATTTGAAGGGCCTGAATTCTTATGGATTTTCTGTCCTTGTTATCTTTTCATCTCACCTAATGTGAAATGCATAAAGATTTGTTTCCTCATTTCTTGAATTCGACTTTACACTAGTGGCATGTATTATTAATATCAAAATGCACAGTTTGAGACCTTGGACAAAAATACAACCAAAATCAGCCTGACATCAGTGTGCAAAAGTAAATTGAAATGTTTATGTGGAATATGTATTGATTATGACTTCTAGTAAGACTTTTCTGTAATTCAGGTTTATAAAAAATCTTACCAACATATTTTTTAGTAGCATGTTTTTTGTACTGTGCTATATTAAATTTCTCCACTAGATGACAGTGCTGCTGGTGATGTGAATTCTATCCATCAGTGTGCTGTTATTTGTACATTCATAGGCATAGGCATAACACTGACATTTATGTCAAAGTTAACTACAAGAAGCTGTAACAACAGTTAAAATACTCAGATTAAAGAGAAAACACTGGCTGTGAATGTAAAAGACCTAAGAGAAGAGGTGTTGTTTTTAACACACTAATCAAGTACAAATCAATGTCGTCAGTAAATTCTGTAAAATACTGTCTGACATATGTTGTAGGGATAGACTGCAGTGCCAGTATGATAAATGGCTTTATCACAGTACGCTGCTTCAGAGTGTAAAAAGAATAAATTGGTATTACTTATGCTTATTGTTGTGCAAATTGCATTTTGTAGCTTCCTGTGTTCATAATTGTCAAAATGCTTGTCTTTATGCATCACAATATAACACATTTTTTCATAATTAATTTCTGCTTTCATTGAAGTATGTATCTTAGGAGAAAGAAATCTAGCATTGATTAAGAAATTACTGAAGAGCACTAACGTACTACAAAGATTGGTATAACAGCTGCAGGTTTTAGAGAGACTGGTCTGTGTAAATTCTGGCAATTAGATATCTACTGTTGTTGTTAATTTCAGTAAGTATTATTTTTCATTCCTCAACTAAAAGTGATTTTGCAAAATGAAGAGTTCCAGACAAAAATACTTAGATTTGTGAAGCACTGTATAAATGATGTAAATAAAACTGGAGAAGAATTGCCAGAAGGTGGAGGGCGATGATTCTTCCCCTCTGCTAGGCTCTTATGAGACCATATCTGGAGAACTGAATCCAATTCTGGACCCTTTAGTATAAGAGGCATTTGGACATACTGGAGAGAGAATCCACCAGAGGGCCACCAAGGTGCTGAAGGGTCTGGAGCACCTCTGTGGGGAGAGGTTGAGAGAGCTGGGCCTGCTGAACTTGGAGCAACTGATCCTCCCTGAGATCTCATCAGTATCTATACATATGGGGATCTCAATATCTATAAATACCTGAAATACCTGAAGAGAGGATGCAGTGTGAAGGTGGAACTAGGATCCTTTCAGTGGTGTGCAGTACCAAAACAAGATGCAGTGGGCACAAACTGGAAGACAGGAGGCTCCTTCTGTGCACCAGGCAGCTCTGCTATGATGTGTGGGTGCTGGAGCACTGACACAGGTTGTTGCCTGTAGGCTATGGAGTCTTCTCCTAGACATGGACCTGGGCCCCCTGCTCTGGGTGTCCCTGGTTGAACAGTGGTGGGACTTGATGGCTCTAAGGGTTCGTTCCAGCCTCGGCCACTCTGTGATTCTGTAAAAAGCCAAATATTTGAAGTATATTCAACCTGGAGAAGTTAAAACCACTCTAATATGAAAGCTGAAAAACTCTTACACATAGGGAGGGAAACTCCAAGGCATTGAAAATACTTTAACACAGTTTATTCACCTTTTCAAGATGATTTCTCCATCCTTTGATACTAGCTTTCTGCTAGTGAAATTTTTCATGTTTCTTACTAAATATTTAGCATGAAGTACTTTGTGTGAGTGCATATTCCTCTCAGCCTACACTGGAGGAATACTGACATTCTTTGCTGTTCCATCACACAACCGAAAAAGGGATAGACTTATCTTCACTGAGATACGTATTCAGAGAGAAAATGTATATTTTGGGTGATGGCATGATATCAGTGTGGTTTTCAGATTCTTTGGGATGCTTTTCAGATTCTAAGGGATGGTGATTTTTCTGGTCAAAAGTATAAGAGCCCAGTTCATCTTTGTCTATCTTTTAGATGAACATTGTTTTTAGAGTTAGAAACTGAAGGCCTGATCCAATTTTCTGAAGAAAGAAAGCATAATTCCATTGATTTAAGGCTTAAATCTTAAAGGCTAACACCAGCCATCCCGGTTGTAAAAGAATACTAAGAATACTCGAATACATGAGAGTAACAAACTTCAGGGAAATTTTATGAGTGACAGTTTTTCTCTCTCCTTCCCTCCATGCAGAAGTCCACTGTATGCTCTCATCTCCAGCCGTACCTGTTACCAAGGGAAGTCTCCAGCCTATAGTAGCATGTTTTTCATGTACACCAGCAATAGCCATAGTGCTGCTGAATTCAACAGAAAATCCAAGATTTCTACATATTTTGACTGTGTTGGAGAGGAAGAGCTCAAACTACCATCTTATTCTTTTTTGGTTCCTACCAACCTATTTACAGAAGCAATCATTCACTGGTTCTCAATTTGAGGGGGTCAAAAGCCACATCTCTTTTTGAGAACTGTACATAGTCATCTCAGTGGACTGTTCCAGAATATATACTTATTCAATTAAAAGAAGCATGCTTAGACTTACAAAAATCCCATACCTCACACCATCAGCTACAGACTAGGTCAGATGTTACTGAGAGGAAGGACATGTTTGTGAGTGTACAGACTCTCAAGCTGATGCAGAGCACAAGAATGCAGTTGAAAATCCAGACTTTTTAGATAGCTCATGCAGGACAGCTCAGGTCCAGGCTGTAGATAGATTAACTAATGCAGCGATATGCCTGTGCCATTAAGCTCTGCTTTGCATTCCCACCTCTATCAGATTGTAGCTGATCAAGTGAGTACCTCTGCCCCATGTGACCTTATCTTCAGTCCTTCTGAAAATTTTACTGAAGCAAACACACAAGGACCAGTTTTACAAGCCTTTAAATATTAGTAGTTGTTTCTGAAGATTGTAGCTCTTTTTGAATTCTGAAAGGTGTTAGAAGAGATTACAATTGTGTGTTCTTCTTTATTTGAAACTAATTTATGTGAATGTAGCTCTTTCCAGTCAGTTTTATGTCTAACAAAGAAGTCACTACAGCTATTTCCCAGCTATTTCAGAGTGTCAGAAAGACCAAATGACATAACACTATCTGCTTACTGTTTTTATTGAATGCAGAAAGACATAACAAGAGGAAGGATTCAATATATTACTGCATTACTCCAATTTTATGTCTATAGGCAGAAGCCAGTTGGGTTAAAAGAGCCTTAATGTGGAATTCCCTTGCTATTTGGGTTTTGCTTTAGCAAAATCTTTGCATTATTGCACCCGTCAGTCTGACTAGTCATAGTCCAAATGAAATGCAAGAAATTGTCAGTGAAGTGTTCAGATACAGTCTGTTGAAGCTGCAGTGTTCATACTCGAAAGTCACTTGCAGAAATTGCTTCTACTCCTTCTGTCTCATGGCAACAAGGGGAGATGTTCAAATTCTGACTTCAGAAATATTATCAGCTCTGGTACATGAGTTTGAATCAACTCAGTATAAATGGCTGTGAATTTGAGGATGTAATTTTGTTTGGATATAATGGAAATAATGTAAGAAATGATTTATGGAAGTGAGCATATATTCCCTTTCTACTGTTATTATGTTTGTCATTTTTAGCTATGACCTAATGTTGTTTAGTTCAGGTTTGCTTTGTATGAAAGTTTCTTCATCTTGTTGCAGTTAGGAGAGATCACAGACACAGACACATTCTGCTTTCCATTGATTTTTCTGTCAAAAGTCTACTAGGTTAATATAGAATATATTGTTATAGAATCATAGTAGTCTTTGGGTTGGAAGGGTCCTTAAAGGTCATCTAGTTCAACTTTCCTGCAAAGAGAAGGGATTGGTGTTGGGACCAATGTTATTTAACATCTTTGTAGGCAATGTGGACGGTGGGATTCAGTGCACCCTCTGCAAGCTTGCAGACAACACCAAGCTGAGTAATGCAACTGACACGCTAGAGGGAAGGGATGCTATCCAGAGGGACCTGGACAGGCTTGAGTGGTAGGCCTATGCCAACCTCACAAGGCCAAGTGCAAGGTCCTGCACCTGATTGAGGGCAGTTCCAAGCACAGATACACGTTGGGCAGAGAACGGCTTGAGAGCATCCCTGAGGACAAGGATTTTGGGGTGTGAGTTGATGAAAGACTCAGAATGTGCTGGCAATGTGCTCTTGCAGCCCAGAGGGCCAATTGTATTGTGGGTTGCATCAAGAGAAGTGTGACCAGGAGGTCGAGGGAGGTGATTCTGCCTCTTTACTCTGCTCTTGTGAGACCCCATCTGGATTACTGTGTCCAGCTCCGGAGCCCCCAACATAAGAAGGACATGGAGATGTTGGAACAGGGGAAGAAGAGGGCCTGCTGCTCGAGCCTGTCTAGGTCTCTGTGGATGGCATCCCGTCCCTCGAGCACATTGACTACACCACACAGCTTGCTGTCAGCCACAAACTTGCTGAGGGTGCACTCAGTCCCACTGTTCTTATCATTGACGAAGATATTAAAGAGCACTGGTCCCAGTACTGCCCCTGGGAGACACCACTCTTCACAGATCTCCATCCAGAGAGCCATTGACAACCACTCTCTGGCTATGATCTTGTAACCAGTTTCTCATTCATTGAACAGTCCACCATATCTTTCCAATTTGAAGAGAAAGAAACTACGGGAGACCATGTAAAAGACCTTGCTGAAGTCCAAATAGTTTACATCTGCAGTTTTTCCCTTGTCCACTGATAAAGTTACAACATCAGAAAAAGTAACAAGGTTGGTCAGGCAGAACCTGTACTTGGTGAAGCCATGCTGGTTATCTCATATCACATCCTTCTCTTCTGTATGCCTTATCACAGCTTCCAGGAGGATCTGCTCCATGATCTTCCCTGGCACTGAGATAAGACTGACAGGTCGGTAGTTCCCTGAGTCATCCTTTCTACTCATCTTGTATCCATTAAAAATGTATGTGACATTGCCTTTTTTCCAGTTACCAGGGACTTCACCTGACCACCGTGACTTTTCAAATATCATTGTGAGTGGCTTGAGAGCTACATCAGCCAATTCCCTCTGGATTGTGGAGTGCATCTCATCAAGACCCATAGCCATTCAGGTTCCTCAAGTGGTTGCAAACCTGATCTTTGCTTACAGCAGGAGCCTGTTCTTTACTTACAGCAGAACTGGCTCCCTCAGTTCCCACCATTTGAACCATCTGTTAGAGGATTGCATGTAGAGCAGTCATTAGTGAAGACTGAGGCAAAAAGGTTATTATCTCAGCCTTCTCCTTGTCGATTGTTATTAGCCTGCCTGTATTGCTCACTGGGTGAGGAACACCTTCCTTCTGAGTGATGTACCTATAGAAGTCTTTCTTATCCTTCTTTGTGCCCCTTGCCAAGTCCAGTTCCAGTTGGGCCTTGGCCTTCCTGACCTGTCCCTACACTATTCCTATACTCCTCCCAGGTTACCTGTCCCTGCTCCCACTGCCTGTGCATTTTCTTTTTGGTCTCCAGTTTGATCAGCAGGTCTCTTGCTGTCCTCTCCTGATTTCCTATACCTCAGGATGGAGAGCTAAAGAAAGCTTCCTTAAAGATCTACCAGCTCTGCTCTGCTCCCTTTTCCTTCAGGACAGATTTCCAGAGGGTTTTGTTGAATAACTCTTTGAAGAGCTGGAAGTTGGCTTTCCTAAAATTAAGATTCTAATTTTACTCTTTTTTTTTGCCTGTCTGATATCCTTCAAGAGTGTGAACATTGTTGCATCATCCTGCATTGTGTATATATGCTGGACTTTTTGAGTATATATCTATACTGTGACACCCTGTCCTCAAATACTGTGTTCAGAATTGCCCAAAGAAAGCCCAAGATCTCCCTCATTCCTGCTGCAGCTCTGAATTAGAAAAACACAAATCCAGCTCAAACCTCCTCATTCACTGGGTGTCTATATTGCTTAAGTGGATAGCCTCACATTCAGTGCTTTTGGTTTTGAAAATAAGGTTTTCAAAAACAACTGTTTAAATCATGATTTTTAGTCCAAAAAACTTATGGTGGTGCAAATAAATGGGACTGGAAGCTTAGAATGCTCCAAGCCAAGGCATCAGAACATCAGTTCAGCATGTCAGAGCATGATGAGTTAGATATAGCAAATTAATTATGCTCAGAGAAAGTATGTAGGTCATGGCATGCTACTGTAGTCTTGGAATAAATGTACAGTATGGTAATGCCAGTGCAGGTCTTGAAACCTTGTAGAAGTAACTGTAGAACTGTAGGTTTTAATATTTTAGAAATGGTATGTGACTTTTTTTACAAGTCTAGCATAGAAAGGTCAAGCAATGGCACTACTGCAGTAGGAAGCATTTTGACAAGAACTAAGCTCCTCAGAAGCTACTTGTGCAAGCGTAGCAGCTTACAGAAATACCAGAACTTAATGCATGGAGAAAAAATTGCAGTGGTTTGCTTTGTTGTTTTCCAGTAGTAAAGATAAATGCCTCAGCAGAACACCAGAAAAAGAACACTATCTAGTAACAGAACAGTGGCCATCTGAACTCTTGCTGAGATAACATAGAGATAGTTTTAACAAAAATTGCCCCTAGTCACTAGAGTGAAATATAAGGTCCACAGAAAGGTAACTGTTGTCTGTGAAGAGCAGGGGCAGCAGAAAACTCTTGCCAGGATCTGGCAAAGGCTGCCTTTAACAAGCACCAAGCAGCCTAGGAGTGGGTGCATGAGGCTCCGGATTGCTCTGATGTTTTGGAAACTATAATGGTTAGTGGCATTATCTGCTATGCCCACAGAACAGTAACATGGCTGAATCAACTCCTAAAGGAGGAAAACATCTTGTTTCATCTCCCTTCTTCTAATGGGTTTCAAGCCCATGTTTCCTAGGAGGAAAAAATACTTAAATTATATTAGCTCTATCCAAAGGCTAACAGCTTGTTTAGATTGCAGTCCTCATATGAGAAACCTAGAATACTATGCCACACACAGATAAAGTTTGGAAAATAACTTTTAAAATTAAAGTATTTATGGTTTTTAATTTGGAAATGTTTTTATATTTTTAAAATTTATACCTGATGCTCTGTTGTTCTTCCTGGTCAGCATGCCTGCATTTATAGTCTGAAAGTTAAAAATAACATCTTGCAAGGTCTGTTTTTGCTGTATATGCTAAATTACATTGTTACATAGTCAATAATTTCAGAACATCAAACAGAAAGAAATACATGGATCTTGAACATAATTAATGCAACCCAGGACTGCGTTCCTTTTGAAATCTCAATCAAGTGCCTAGAAAACACTGTAAAACCCATTATAATATATCTGTCAACAATTTAATTAAAAAGCTTTCCAAAGCAATGGTCTTATGAGAAAATATATTGGGAAATCACCAGCAGAATATTCAGAAGAGAGATGCTGTGTTATAGCTTAGTTAATCTTAGTTTACTATGTTCTTCCATGTATTGATGTTTAATTTGAAATATTCATTCAAATTCAAATATATCACCACCAAAAATTTCTGAAACAGAGGAAATACAAGAAATTCATTTTTGTGTAACTTGGTGATGATACAATTGCTTTACGTGCTTTTAGGAAAGGTGGTTTACGGGGAGCCTATTGCTGCTGGTCTTGGCATCGATGGTACCAACTACTGGAATGAAGACTGGGCTCATGCTGCAGCACATGTGATGTCACCTCCACTCAGTCCAGATCCTTCTACTCCGGATTTCCTCATGAACTTACTGGCCAAGTAAGCAGATGAACAAACACTGACAGCTGTTGCACAAATACTCAGCAAATTCTGTCTGTTTCCCTGGAGATATTTTAGGTACAGAATTATCAGGAAGGTGAAATGGAAGGTGAAACCGTAGATTAAAAAAAAAAAGATTAAAAAAAAATAAATGTTACAGAAATTAGAAACTGCTCAGATTTTGTTTCTCGGAACTGTTGTGACTTTCTGTCCTCACTTGATTTTAGTCAGTAAGCCTTGTCTTGCTAGTACTGAAGCAGAAAGTAAAACAGGAGAACAGCAAGGCTGTACGTTGGTGGAAATTTTGTGAAAAGATGTCACAATTAGAGGTTCTGGGCATTGCTATCAACTCAGCGTTTCATCTGAAATTTGGATACTACATGAAAATTAAGCCCACTGTTTTCTGAAAGCAGATAAATATATTTCACTTCATTACATTTGCTTCAGAAGGAATTAGGAACAGGTGGTGGATGCTCTATCCCAAAACACATTCAGGGTCAGGCTGGATAGGGCTCTGAGCAACCTGATCTAGTTGTAGATGTCCCTGTTTATTGCAGAGGAGTTGGACTAGATGAGCTTTGAAGGTGCCTTCCAACTCAAATGCTTCTATGGTCCTTCAGAGCCACAAAATGTGGTTGATGGTTGTGCAAATCTGGGGTAACTTAGAGGGAACAACATGGATCTGTGTCAGGGGAGGTTTAGGCTGAGGATTAGGATAAGGTTCTTCACCAAGGGGGTTGTCAGACACTGGAACAGGCCCTCCACAACAGTAGTCGTGGCACCAAACCTGCCAGAGTTCAAGAAGCACTTAGACAGTGCTGTTAGATATAGGGATTGAATTTTGAATGGCCATGTGTGGAACCAGAAGTTGGGCTTAATGATCCTTTTGAGTCTTTTCCAACTCAGGATACTCTATGATTCACGGGATATGTGGAATGACAGTCCGAAATTGTTCTAAGTGGGGATGGAAATTTTGCTCTGGGCAAAAAAAGATAGCGTTCCATTTGTGGAACACCTGTGGCATATTCATATATCCATATATCCATAACTAAGAGTGTTTTTTCTATCCTTGGTATTATCTGAGGACTTTTGGAAGAGAAACTGGCAGTCACTGTGAAGATACTCTTGGAGGATGGGTTAAAGACAGGCTGACAGGATGTTTTCAGTTTCTCTTTGCAGGAAGGATGGTTGGATGTGTCTACCCAGCCTTGCAAAAGATTTTCCTATGCAACACTGTCTGACACATGCTCCAATTCATAATTAACTTTGTTTCTCCACAGTGATGACCTGTCTGTGGTAGGGACTGACAACTGCACTTTTGACACATGCCAGAAAGCTCTTGGAAAGGATGATTTCACCAAAATCCCTAATGGACTGAATGGAGTGGAAGACAGGATGTCAGTAGTGTGGGAAAAAGGCGTTGTAAGTAAATCAAGATGTCTGAACATGGAAGTAATTGGTGTCTCCAACAAAATACACTGTCTCAGTATAATTAGCTTCTCAGATTTATCAAAGGTATTTATCACAGGATATGTGATAACACAGTTTTCATAAAACAAGATACCTGCGAAATGTTGTGTCTCCTGAGGAAACTGCTCAGCAGAACTACAGATTCAGAAGCCAGCTAAGAAATTTGATTCCAGTTGACTATGAACTATGACTATAGCTTTAAATTTGTCTTTTTTTCCCTTTTATTATGAGGTAAACTGACACAAAGTCATCATATTCCATATTTGGTGAAAGTGCCTTTTAATGTGTGCACCAGAGACAAATAGTTATTTTTATTTCTTTTAAACTCATCAGTAAATTGATGTGCTGCTGTGATTTTGGTAGAGATCAACCTTTTCATCAACACAAATATTTTTTATATTCCTTGTTTAAAAAACAGTGAGTTTACTTTTGTGTACTTTCTTTCAGTACAGTGGAAAAATGGACGAAAACAGATTTGTAGCTGTTACCAGCACAAATGCAGCAAAGATCTTTAACCTTTATCCGAAGAAGGGAAGAATTGCTGTGGGTTCTGATGCAGATATCGTAATTTGGGATCCTGAAGCTACAAGGTATGTAGGGGAAGTTGTTTCCTTCCATCCAGATGCTCTGCAGGAAAAAAGTACCTCAATCCATTTGTGTAGCAATAAACCTCTGGGGAGAGATTATGGTGTTTTTTCAACCGTACTTCGTGTGAATTATTTTCAAGTTATTTATTTGACTCCTGCAGTAGTGTTTATAAGTAGAGATCCTTGATCTCTAGATGGCCTTAAAAAAATCTCCCAAATTGCTGACGAAGCACGAAAATAACAAGATCCATACATTATACTACCAGGGCATGGTATCCTAAGAGTAAAAATAACCACTTTTGGATCTTAGAGTAACTGTTAAGCGCTTGACTATGTTTAGCTCCCTTCCACCACAAAAAGCAGGGAGAGAAGCCTGTGTTCCTGCAGAGTGATCCATCACAAGCTTGTGTTTTGAGCTTACAGCTATTTCAAACATATTCAGAGGTGGTCAGAATCATTAGTATGGGGTCCTGACCTGTTAACATCTCCTTCCTAGCTAGCAGAACAAATACAGTGGTAAAGCTGTAAGTGAGCCTAGTTCTGAAGCTCAAGCTGTATGTGCTTGTACTTAAGGAGCTTTCTGACTTTGTGCCCAGTAAGTCTGCTTAAGTAGAACTTGTTACACCAGCAACAGAAGCACAAAAGATATGCCAATCTCTTGCCTTGCATGGCCTGATGCCATGGTACATTCATGCTTCAAAAGACATCCACTGTCTTTCTGAGAGCCTCAAATCAAACACAGCACAATCTGTGTAATAGAGCTGATTCCTGTCTTCAGATCTATTCACACCAAGAGCCAAATCCATAATCAGGCTACTGTAAGTATCTCAGGTATCTCTCGAATGTTTCACTTGGCTCTTATGCCCAACCTTGGTATAAAAGCAGTCTAAACTACATGAAAGTGGTTTGGGAGCAAGCTGTCAGATGCAGCTTGCCTTTGGAAGTTGCTAATATCTGCTGAGATGCCTATGGGCTGTGTGAGTGCACCTCCACTGTCTGACCTCCAAGCAGGTCATCTTAAATCTGCAGGCATTAAGCAGTTGAGTACAAAGTCTGACCACATTCAGCCATTGCACATACCAGCAGCTGATCAGGATGTGTACCAGGCAGGTGCTTTGGTGTCAGGCTTAGCTTCAGTAAGCAGCACGAGCATACACACTGACCCTTCACTGAGTTGAAATTCCTTCACTGATGTCAATCTAAACAGTGAGTAAATCCATATGAGAAAGCAATCACAAATCCTAGCTGAGCTTCTTGGGGTGCTGGACATGATAACAGCATTGCCAGTTTTCATCAAGAGATCACAGTGTTTGGAGTTCCTAAAACTTGAGCTGTTTTAACCAAGAAATTGCAATAGATTTTCAGCCTTTGTTTTTAAAAAACAGACTTGAAGACTTCTCTGATTGTAAAGCAAACTTTGGAAGCACAAGTAGATAAATCTGAGGCTCAGAAAGCAAATGGAGGTAAAAAGCCCTAAGCCTGGATTTACCTTACATATACACAATTCTTTAGACTTATCTTCTGGTTTCTGAATTTCAGGCATTTCAATGTACTCATGAATAGCAAAACCACACAGAGTGACACGGAAAAGCAATCTGTGTTTCAGGTTGCAAAGATTGAGGACTTGGAACTAACTACTCAGAAGTCCCACAAAAAGCTGTAAATACCAGCAGAAGTCTCAAGAGTGTCAATCAACACAGAGTCCTGCCCTGTGCTGGGTCAGAGAGATTTTGCTGCTGGGTATTAAATAGCTCATGTGCATTATGCCTCCTGGCATGTTAAGCAAGCATATTTTGGATCCTAGCAATGAGATTTTTCAGGACAGTGGTGCTATAAACTCTGATTTAAAAAAAAAAAACAACAACAACAAAAAAAAACCCTGAAGGTTTATTTTAGAGTTCACTTCTGCTCTGCCTGGGGACAAATGGGACTAGAAGTGGAGTTATGACATTGTTCTCAAGGTGCTTTGTCAGCTCCTAAAATTACTTATCTTTTGCTTCCCGGCCGTTCCTTCTGCCTCCCTTCACTGTCCTGATAGTTCTCTTATAACTTTTGCCCATTGCAGCTTTGAAAGTGCAGTTTTTCTTCAAATAGTTTTTCAGAAATTAAATTGTATTTTTTTACTGAGCAAGCTGATTTTAAGTTGAATCAACCTTTTTGCTTTTATTCATCCTCCCAATCTGTACATTTCCCATTGTTTATCCCTTTGGCTTTTCTGAGAACAAGCCACTGTGCAAGTACCATTGTGTGAACTCCATGGGTAAGTATAAATAAATCTTGAGCTCGTCTATTCATTTCTCTATAAATCCTGAAGAGGGCACAAACAGCCAGACAGAAAAAAAGGATCTAGCTAACGGACTTAAACCATTTGAGATATTACACAACCTGCAGTCTCATATGCTTTTGTTGCATTTGGATATTAGATTTTGATTTCACAATAGGCTTGTTCCTCTTTCTAGCAAAAGAGGATGGTAACTTCCTGTTTTGATGGTAACTATTTTTCACATCTGTAGATCTAAATCTTTCAAGATAGGAAAATGTCATTTTACAGTTCTGGCTCGATGCTGTATTTCTGTAGTCTTAAAATGCTGGCTGGCTGATAGTAGTTCAGATAGTTTGGCAATTGCTGAAACATTGCTGTGAAGAACTGGTATGGTGTTGCCGTATTCTGGCAGAGAATTCTGAAGTCACTTTATGAGTGAAGCTTTTCAAAATAGAAAATCTTAAATTCCTGCAAAATCAGCTGCCTTTTGCCTTCCACATCATTGCCCAATAGCAAGATGATGGGTACAATCTGGGCATTCAGGACATTCCTTTTCTAGGTTGTAAAAGCCTGGTGAATTCAGTATGACAGCTTTGCAAACTGGAAGCAGTTGCAATTCAAGGCTCTACTTGCAGCACTCTGCTGCTTTTGCTGAGGCTTTATTTACAGGTATCATACAGTGACTGGCCTATTTCTGCAGGATTTGCTGGTAATTTCTGCAGAAAATGTATGAAAATTACCAGATTTGGTGGTGTGTTTCAAAGAAACACTTGAAATGTACAAATTCATTAGAAACTGCGTTAGAAAAGATGGGTTGTGAGCTCTGCAAGGTTAGGCTTATTTCTTAGCTTTCTTATACACATGTCATATTTAGAACAAATTCTGAAGGGACCAACTGGTTTACTGCAGCTATGTGCTACCAAACATCAGTCACCTTGTGGGCATCAACGCCCTCAGCATCCCAAGTACAGCCAGTGCACACAGGAATTTTTTTGTGACAACTGCTGGAAAAACCTGACAGCAAGCCAGTGTCTTCTATAGCTGATACCTTTGCCATTTGGAAGCAAGAATACAAAATCTCTAGGGCTTGTGTCAGAAGTGCTCCACAATGAATCTAAATACTGAGTACCCAATTCAGACGGTGGAAAGAGCTGAGCATCACCTGTAAAGAAGGTGCTAAATCTTGGAAGAGATATTCAGCTCCTGGATGCTAGCAAGGCTCCATAAACTAACTGCAGCCTGTCAGAGCCTTGCAAATTGCTTACCCTGGGTCAGGCCATGCAGGCAAGATCAGAACAAAATTTGAAAAGCATAGGTAGAAAAAAATATCATATGGGCCTTAATTGAGTCCAGTTAAATTATCAAGCCACTTTGTTATAACAGCATGCTGTCTAGGAAGCTTTCCTCACCATTGATTTTCCACTTAGCTAGTACAGCCTAAAAGTTGGGTCACTTTTGAATGTAGACGTAGAGGGTTATGCAGGCAGTAGTCTCTCAACTCTTTCTCCTTGTCTCTGGAGTGGCCCTCTGGCATGCCCAGCGTGTACCAAGGAAGCTGGGCTCAATGCCGAGCCCAGCGGTGACAGCTGCAGTCCTAGATGCACGGCCACTGCAGGGGATGCCCAGGTAATAGGGAATGCAGGAGACCTGAGGTAGAAAGAGAGGGAGGAAAATAAGTTGTTAGTTTTGTAACCTACCAGCTATGACATAACTAGAGGTTTCTAACCCGCATTTCCAGTGTTTGTTAATGCATTTTGCAGGAAACAGTCACTGGCTGCAAATCAGCAAGAAATCATAGTGGCCCAGTCTGCTGGCATTTTTTTCCCCCTTTGCCTCTGCTTGTATATAGATACGTTCATGGATAAATGTTTTGCATTTGTTAGAACCAATATCTGCAGCTTATGACTGTCCCATTTGTAGTCAAAGTCTTCAGCCTCAGAGTTAAGCGGGGACAAGAAACAACATTTAAGGACTCTATCCCAAACTACTGCCTGTAATTGTTCATGCAATGCAAGAGGAAAAGAAAAACAACAATGTTCATTGATGATTAGAATAAATAATGCTGTGTCTGTCTTGTTCTTTTGATGAATGATCATAATATTGAATGCTGAGCAAATGGATAATCTCATCTGGACTGAATTAGGCAAAATGAATTAATGTAGCACACAAATACGTATGCATAGGACAAGCATGTTCCAGCACTTTCAGTAGCTCCATATTCTTTGCACAAGTACAAGCCTGCACATACATGAATGTATGCAACTTCCCTAGAATCCCAGACTTCCTGTCAAAACCTGTGATCTCCAATCTAGGGAGCGTGGAGAAAGAATGTATAGGTACAAAGCAGATCAGATTGTTTGCCAGTAGACATTTTGAAGTCCACATCCTTTGTGATACTCAAAGCCTGTCAGGGCACAGCCCTGAGCAACCTGCTGTAGCTGATCCTGCCCAGTGCATGGAGTGGGATCATCTCTGGAGATCTTTTCAACTGTAGTGACTCTGTGATTCTATGAACTGTAACAAAATAAACCTCTATGAGAGAGCAAGATGTATGTTTCCCTAGTAACTTGCTGTCTCACCAAATGTCAACTGCTCTCTTTAGTGAACTGAATCTTAGCAAAGTTACCAAGAAACAAAAGATTATTTCTCATTTTTTCCTCATATAAGCTTATCATTTTCTCTCCAGGAACTATGCCCAGGTCTGCTTTAGTCACTGTATAGACTCATTTCTATTCTCCTCTCTATCCTTTCTTGCAAGCTTAATTTCTCATCATTGTTTCCCTCCTGCCCATCATACAATTTGACAGTTCTCCCTTGGAGTGATTGATAGTAGACTGATGGTATTGTTGACAAATTAGTTGCTTACCATAATCAGAAAAATCATTTTGTTGTCATTCTCTGCCCATCTTAAAGTGGAGCATCTTAAGAGAAAAGAATGCATAAAATAAAGATCCTGTCCCTCAGATATGCCACTGTGACAAAGAGCTCCTAATCATTTACTTCCTATTCCTTCTAGCAACTTTATTTTATCCACAGATCCTCTCACTTCCTACAACTACTGAAAGACTGCTTATTTAGGCATATTTGTAAGCAGCTTGGGATGCAATTTGTATGTGCAGTTATAACAACTACGTAATACAAAATAGATTCTCAGCTTTTTAATCCACATAGATCTCTTCTTTTTCTGCTGTTTACTTCTTTTTTTTCTTTGTAGTAAAACTGTCTCTTTGACGAAGTCCAGTTTACTTATCTTTATAAATAAACAGTGCCTCAGCACAGCACAGGAAGATGAACCAGAAATGCATTTTTGACTAGATTTTAGGAAAGGAAGTTAACGACATGGCAGTGTGAAGGCAGCTGAAGTAATGTGAAGGAGCAAATTGCAGAGGCTGATATTAGCCTCAGAAAACTGGGCTCAGCTCTGAAAAGTTTCAAGACATTTCATTATAAGCACTCAGAGAAGTTGCTTACATCTCAAGTACTTCCTTTAACGTAAGTTGGTTTTCTATAGGAGCTGTTGGCAAAGCAGTTTTCAGAAATGGATTCAGATCATTTTAGCTGCCTTTTATTACTATGTTTTCACTTAAGTAATTATAAAATCTGTGTCCCTCCACTCTGATGAGGTGTTCAACACTTGTTCTTGCCTAAGGGCTGTTGGCTACAGAATCCCTTTGTATTCCTGTGCCTAGAGTATTTAAAGAAAATTATGTGAGGTCTGCATCCAGTTTCCACTGGAACTAATTATGTTCTTCAGCTTCTTATGCCCCCCTCTTGAAAACAACACAGATAAAATCCTTACATCAGTTGAAGTTTAGGTCCTAGAGCTCACTCTAATCTAATGGATCCACCTTCACTGAGCCAATATAGCTTCATTTCCTATGTATTATGAGATGTAGAAGATTACCCTAATGTCATGTTTGCTTCCCTTCATGTGGATGGCCTCCTTGCTTGGCTGTAACTCACTGTTCAGTATTTCAGGTGCTGATGTGGGCTAAGACATGTTTGTGATGCTCCTGGATTGTGTCCGACTTGCCATCTAGTAATTCTAAATTTTTACAAAGCTTCAGGTCTTATGAAGTGCATAGCTTTTGGGTGGACTGCCTGTACTTTCTTGAATATTGCACTACAGCTTTACAACCTTTCACACTGGAGCATTAGTCTTATCTGATGCTCTTTCCTAAGTTTCAAACTTCTGTTTCTGGTTGATTTAGATGTTATATTCTAAGAATGGCTGAGAAGCCCTTCCTCCCATAGAACATAAGTAAGTACAAGGTTACCACATGCTGAATTGCAAAGTCTGCAAATTGCTCTTTGGCCATAGAAGAATTGCTTTTTGACTATAAATTGGTTGGATAGATGCACTGGATTGAAAATAAAGGACAATCTCAGAAGTAAGTCTTTGTCTTTGGTTCTTGGGGAATATCATTTTTTTAATTTATTGCCTGAAACCTGTTTGCAAGGCAGATGTATCAAAACCATCTGAAGTGAATTACATAAAAACACTGATATAAGTAGGAAGAAAAAACAGAGCCTGATGTCTTTGCAATATCCTCTTCATAAAGAATATTATTTAAAATCCTGAAGTAATCATTCTGATCTCTGTTTCCATTTGAGGAAAAGTTATTTACAACAAGAACCTCTGTAATTTATAGCAAGAACTAGAGAATTTTATGGAATTGATAAAAAAAAATTGCCATTCAAATTTTTGAAGCCTAGACTCAGAATCTGCTTTCTCACATTGAATGACATCTTGTCTCAGACATCACTTGGGACATTGGAGGTAACTATTACATTCTATTTCACTATGATGTCAATCTACTTTCTCAGATTATTAATTATTTCAGATGCTCTTGCCATTAACTGAGGAACAGTAGCATTCAGTTTCAAGCAAATACTGGAATTTCACCAAGCTTTCTAGCAAGCTGCTTGTTACTGAGATGGCTGATACAGCATTGAACAGTGTATTGCATAAGGTGTTTGAGATGTGAGCTCCAGATCCAAGCATACTGTCTTTGTTTTAATTCATTGCTGACTTTCTACCTGAAACTTTCACTTCCATTAAAAACCTAAACATAAGTGAATTTTGGTGAGCTCCATAAGCTAGATTGCACTGAACCTTCAGAAAGGGTAGCATGATCAAAGTTTTGTTTCAAGAGAAGAGTTGGAAATTAATTATATGCAAGTTTGTCATTGAGAGAAGCTCTGGGAAATCTATTTTCTCATGTTGCAAGTTTTACGTGTATGAATGGATGTTTCTTTCAAATGCACTAACTTTATTAGTTTTCTATATTTTAATGAAGGACATACATGTCTTTGAGGCATGTTTACCTCCAGTGGTCCTTCTCTAGAACGTTTAAACAGCTTGTTTGCTGAACTGAAGGATCTTGCTTATTTTTCTGATCGTTTGCTCAAGTACTTTTTCCATTTTTCTTCTTATGTCCCAGCACTTGCCTTCAAATAGATACGAGGTATGCCCAGAGAATGCTAAGGATAATTGTATGATAGTAGTTCTTACTTACTGTTCTATCAGTTGGACCCACATGTGTAATGTAATCAGAGGAAGATGTTCACCAGCTCTTTGCAGGGCTGTTATGATACCTACTGATAAGCTTGTTCAACAGGTATTCATAGGATTGGTGAATACAAGGGACCTCTGACTTCATGTCTGAGATAGTAATAGTGCTACATGTTCACAACGGGCTTTTTTGCTACATACACACTCATTATGGAAAATTCTGAATGATCAACAAAAAACATCCCTCCTTTCAGTAATTACAGATAGCAACTAAAATATAAGCTTTCTAAATTAAAATAATAAATGAATTTTAAGATTGGAAGCAGATGTTACGTTTCAAAATCTTGTGACCATTTTAGACACAGTACATAATAAATAGCTTAGTAGATAAAATAGGTAGTAAAGGAGCCTGCACTTCCAAATACAGTGTCATCTCAAGCATTGAGTCTGACTTTCATGTAGCCAGTTAGGGTTAGAGAAATTTGCTAGAAAAATTCTGAAAGTAAAGAATGCAGTCTATGTATTAACAAAGCAATAATACTGTAGCTCAGATTGATATAGTTGAGATCTAACGTTATATTTGCTTAGTGCCTTTGGAGAAAAGGTATGTAGGAGTGTGATTATTATTTGACAGCATAGAGATATTTAGGCTGTGTGTCACTGGATCAAACCAATTCACAATTAGGAGTTACCAAAATTCATTACCATCTACTGAATTTCCAGTTAAATAGTCTTTGCCTTATTTGTGCGTTTCAGTCTTTGAAACACTGCAGCCGTACCTTTCAAACTTTAAATTGCAAGTCATTCCAGCTAAGAGGGCAGAGCTTTTTCTGACCTTATTGTGCATAGATATTTCCTTGATAAGGCAGAATTCAATCATGGTATCCAAATAAAATATTATAACCTGTTGGTTGTCTCTTTTTTTTTTTTTTTTTTTTTTTTTTTTATGCTGATCTCTTTACAGTGGAAAATTTTGTGTTTCAGGGCTGCAAAGTTCTGTCCTTTTGACTCCCTCTTTATTCTTTTGAAATGCAATTACTGTTCAATGAAATGTTAATGCTCTATTCTATTTTTACAGCTATTCCATGATGTACTCTCCAATGTCATAGCTTAATAATGCTACTAAATCTTCCTCTATCAATTCCTTACAATTTTATAATGCAAGGGTCATAGTAATTTTTGTGGTTGTTTTGTTTTGTAAACCCAGGACAATATCTGCAAAGACACATCACCAGGCCAACAACTTCAATGTGTTTGAAGGAATGGTCTGTCATGGAGTCCCTGTTGCAACAATTTCAAGAGGCAAAGTGGTTTATCATGACGGAGTTTTCAATGTCACAGCAGGACAAGGCAAATACGTCTCTCGTCCGCCATTTCCTCCATATGTCTATGAACGAGTCAAGCAGCGGGAGGAGGTTAATTAAAATAATAAATCTCTGTAACGCTTCCTAGAACATGAGGATAACAAGCTCTTGGGAACAGAGGTTTGGGGATTCAATGGCAATTTCGCTTACTAATCAAAATCCACCGAGGTGGGAGGAAATTAAACTAAGGAATCAATTTTTATTGTTCTTCATATTACAGAGAAATATCATAGATTAGTTCCTGCTCTCAGGATAGTCTATAGAGCTTGTAGACAAAGTCTAGGTACTTTTTAAAATAAATCCCACCTGCAATAAAATTGGCCAAAATATTTTGCAAATAGGCGGTCTGACTACTTGCTAGATTTCACCACTATTTTCCCTGAAAATCACAAAGGCATTTTACACAGGAATAAAACCTATACTGGAGGAACAGATCGAATATTTAGAGTTAAGCCCTGTAGAATATTGAACACTTAGCTTTCTTCCAGCAAGAATATGTTAAAAGCTGAACATGTGCAAAACACTCTGCTGGACCAAACTTATTGTTCAAGCTCTTCTTCTGACTTTTTTTAAAGAAAAACAAATTAAAAATAAATGCAGACTGAATGTGCAGTGTCTATTTGCCATGCAGGCATTCATGAAGAATTTTTCTGAGGCCATAGTGTTGCTTATCATGGGTAGGATTTTCAAAAGCACCCAGACTAAGCATAATTGAAAATCACAACCTGAATCATTAGAATTCACTGCAGGATCTAGAAGTTAAATTAGAAAACATCAATGTCTCTGACGATATGACTCTTAGAAATGCTTCCAAGATGATTCTATACATTATATCCCACTGTTGTCTTGCTGGACTGTGAAAGGTGGGTGAAAATCATTGAGGTTTTCCTTTGAACACTATACTCTCCCAGGAGCTGGTGGTCTGTCTGCTAGCTAATAGGTGTGATACACTTCCAGGGATAGGCAGAGCAGCCCTTTCATGAGCACACAGTTTTTCTATGGAAACTAGAAATGGTAAATAAATGATGCATGTTTGGGTTTTCTGAGAACCCTTTGGATATGTATGATACACAAATTTCTATGTGCCTCTGAGTCTGTTTAATCCACTAGACACTGAAGATTGATATTTTGTTAATGAGAGCTGCTTATGATTATTGCACTTCCTTTGTTGTGCAGTGTTAGTTCCTTTAGCTTTCAGTGCAATATAAATGCCATATAATGGTTATAGAAGCTAGCCACTGAAACAGATTTGTACTGGCATTACACTAAAAAAGACTTAGGGCATTCCTTTTCCAGTAATAGAACTAAACGATTATTAAGTTCTTCCTCCAGCATAACTATTAGTGAACCCAGATCCTGGCATTGCTAGTAAAGCTTTATATCCCGTGTGAAAGGAAGGGCAGTATCAAAACTAAATTAAAATTTATGAGAAATTTGGCAATCACAGAATTCTAAGACTTCAGTGACTTTTGTGGTTTCTATTTCCAATCGAAGCTTGGGAGAATTTTGCCTTAACTATAGCAGTGCTTTAGTTAAGGAAATTACTTCAGAAGTGATTTTTCTACCAGCTCAACATTCTGTGTAGTCAGCACCTGAGGTGGTGTATGGTAGAAAGCCACACAGGGCAGGAGTGGCTTTGTTTCCTTGATGTTCGCTTTACTCGTATCTGTATTAAGAGCATCACTGGGAAATGTGAACACAGTAATGAGGAACAAGTTTACACTGTGAATGGGCAATGAGTCAGCTCTTCTGGAGAGCTGTACATCTTCTCTTCTGAGATATCCTGAAGTAGATGAAAAAAATATTAAATGTACACACAGAAACAACCAAATACTGCAGATAGCTGATTTATGATCATGTTTTAGCGTGTCTTGATTATTTATATGCCACAATCTCTGGGATATTTCCATTCTGAGATCTGTTTAGATTAAGGAAGGGAGAAGCATAAATAAATTGAGGAGGAACATGGTCAGCTTCTTGTCAGAAAAATGGTTTTAGAGTTGCTTTGTTAGAATCCTGAACAGACTGAACTACCTCCTGATGAAAGCTGAGAACTGAACAGTTTAGTTTTAAACCTTTGTAAGAGAGAAGTTTGATGAAATCATTGTGTAACATGACATACAAAGCTGGGCTATCTCAGGATTGCTGTTCTCATTATGTACAGTTAGCAATTGCAAGGAGAAGAAAAATAATATTTTAAAGTTTGAAATGCTTTATTTCAGGTCTGTCAGCCAATTCCTGTTAAGAGAGAACCATATGCAGGCGTGGTCTCAGCAACACCTGTCACACCAAGCTAACAGCTGCAATCCTCAGGTTTGCTTCCTGCAAGTAACTGCCTATCTTCATTAGTGAAAACTGTTTTACTTAATTCTTCCCTGCAATTCCAAGAAAAATGCAGCTGGCCTTCTGGCATGAGACAGTCTTGTCTGAAATGAGTTCTCTTGGAAGGGGAGCTGTTGTGATATCTTTGAATTTGATGAAAATGAGTGGCAACTTACGTATGGAGGTCCTTTCTGATTAGAGCATAATTTCAAAACTTCTTATGAGAGAAGAGAATGGAGTTTGATCATTAAACTGAGATATGAATTTTAAGTCTCATAGAAAAGTCGAGCTCAGGTAGGACATCCCTTTTCAAGCACCAGGAGTACAAAGTGTAAATGTTAAGCTTGCAACTTTACAGGAAACACAGGAGCAGCTTGATGTGAAAAATCAGATTTTCTAATGTTCCTTTCATACACACAATAAATGTCCATCAGTTGAGCTGTTTGAATGAAGCTGAGAAGTCTGTATTGAAATAACAGTATCTGTCTTCATGCAGTAGAAGTGCTGAAGTCAAAGACAGCTGTGGTCTGATGGACAGCTGAGCTGCTATTAAGCTCAGTGCTGCTAACAGGATATATAGTTATGCCCAGCATTGCCCTCTCCTTCTTTACCAGTGTCCACAATACACTGCTTGGTTACTGACATTCCTTGAATTATGTAAGCTCTGGTGCTTGGTATATCTTTTTGTGAGTTGATTTTCTTGCGAAGCCAATAGAAAACAATTAGCTTCATTTTTCTGGACCAGTTTTTAGATGGCTTAGTGAGTTGAACTCTTAGAAGAACATAGCAAGGATCAGGGCTATGCAGCATATGGATGGGATAAGGCAGCTAGCAAGAAAGGCTAGGCAACAGCATCTCAGTCTTTAACCATTTACAAGTTGCAGAAATGCTTCAGAATATAATAAAATAACTTCAGACAGCACAGCTGGAACATGATGATGCCATACACCAAGTGCAGTTGAAATGTTTGTCTGCTACTGTAGGGCATTGCTTAATACGGGTCAGGGGTATAGTGAGTGGTAGTAAGCATGACAAAAGGCAGGCTGAGTTTTTGGGTACGTATAAGTACCTACACTGAGGTTGCTACCACGAGAAATGATTTGCCAGTAGATGGATGTAAAGCCCCAGTTCTCACATCACATAAAATGTGTTTGTTCTTGGTGCTAATTAATGTGAGGGCAGGAACAAACCCACGGTGGTGGGAGGGCTAAATTAGTTTTTCCACATTTTATTGTATTATTATTTTAAACTTCCCTCAGAGGGAAGTTTGTATAGGGGATCAGGAGAGGCAAGAGAATGCATGCTATTTGTTTTCCTCTGTCATAAGGGAGAAAGCTTTTGTGATTGAGATGAGTAAAGGCTAAAGCTGCAATAGAGTGAGGGAGAAATAATCATTTTTTTTCTAGCTCCTAGCACTCATTCTCCATTATTGCCTTTCAGAGAGACAAATTACAAAGCAGAGATTTTCTTTTGAAAGATCACATCATATTGTCTTTTTCTTTTCTGTAGATAAAAGCAGATGAAAATGACCCTGATGTCTCCACTGAAGAAGTGCACATTTAGTTCAAAACCAGCTTCTCAAGAGCCAATGTGAAACAACTGCAACCAATAAACATTATACTGCGCTTCCTGCATAAAAGTTGTCTTGCAATCTCTCTTTAAAAGAAACTTTATTAGTAGAGCTTGAAAACACTTTTTAGAAAATGACATAATATTAAAATATGAATTGCAATTATAATATGGCAGTAGGTCTGTAGATTCTTAAATGTGGGTAAATTTGGGGGCAATATTTCTTAATATTTATCTTTAAAGGGAGTCTGTTAACCTGTACAGTAAAAGTAGTGAACAGTAGCCTTTAAACACATGGCATACATTATCCAGTCACAGCCTATGAACCCTAATTCTCTAATTAATGTATTAGAAAGATCTCTGTATTTAGGGACACAAGGAATTCTCATACCAGATCCTGGAGCTGATTCTTCTCTTTTCCTCTTCTCTATTCCTGAAAGGGATCAGGTACAGAAAAGTACTGACTCGGGGGGAACTGTCACTATTTTAGAGCTGCTGCTACATCTCCCTATTCTGTGTTTAATGTGGATTTCAATCCTGCCAGTTACACAGCCAAGTGTTTATTGGCATGGTCAAGTATTTCCTATTATAACCTACGGAAATCTATGCTAATTGTGCTGCTGAACTCATCTACTGTATTGATTCTGAACATAGATCTTCTAACTTAAAGGGTTATGAATCAAGGTTATTAGGACCAGAACTTTTGAAAGTCTTTTTACAGAAAATGTGAAGTTTCCCTCAATATAAATGATACAAATTGTGGGTTTTCTGTTCATTTGTTTTCTAGGATAGGATTCTTGAATTTAAAAATATATATTCTCACTTTTTAAATGTATTTGATTTCCCCTCTGAGAAGTAACTGTATTCTAAGAAGCATGAATCTGTTTCCACATATAGGCATATTTTGCTTCAGAAACCTAGAATTAGGTTTAAATTTAAATTTTTACATGCATTAGCCCTCTATTTTTAAGCAGCAGAAATATTTAAGAGAAAAATGAGGCCAACAGAACACCGCCTGTATGGAGATTTTTGTGTCCTGTATTTGGAAGCACTGTAACCTGTTCTGTGCAAGCCATAAGCCAAACAAGCACATGGGGGACATTCATCTTTGTAAGACAGACACAGAAAGCATGTGATAGTTACTGTTCTTTTAAATTTGACAGTGGAAGACAGTCTTATATTTCCTGCTACATTCATAGGCATATGATGATGTATGAGCTTGTAACAGAAACAAACTCTAACACATTGGTAGTTCTTCTGTCTCTGAACAGCAAAGGAGACTCTTCTTTGTAAGGTGATGGAGGTTAATTGCGTGTGTTTAGGAAGAGCTAGCACAGGCTCCCAGCTCTTCAGCTCTCTTTGACAGAATGGCAGAACCAGGTATCCAGTACTGTCACAATCACTGTTAAAAGGTAGTAGAATTCACATTCTGTGTAGACTTCTAGATCTGTAGATGTATAGATCTGTATGTGAGTTTATGTCTAGTCTCTTTGTAAACAACAAAGAGAATGAGGTCCTCCACTGTTCATTTCCACAGCAGGATCTTAAACAGGCTAGATAAACTTGTCCAGATCTGTTCTCCCTTGGGATGAGATGGATAGTTTTCTTGCAGTGCCACCCCACTTATTACAGGCATACAGTATGCCTGATTTGGGTGCAGATGTCTACCTTGCAGGTACCTTACACCCAGCCCATATTTACCCTTCATAACTACAACTTTCTGCTAAGATGGATGCCTGTCTTATGTTTTGTTTCACCAAGAGTATGTGGCCATTCTTTTAAATTAATCTTTTGCTACTTTGGAAGAAGAGCAGAAATTTGAGAAGAATAAGGGAAAAAAGCAGGGACTAGAGATGTATTTATACTTTTAATGATAATTTGAATTTGCATGGAGCCTTTAAGATGAGTGTTTAACAATTATTAGAGCCTTGCAATCACATGATATACCTGGGAGACTAATAAATATAATGACTGTACACTCATGAATTCTCAAAGCTCTGAAGTGTTCGAGTATGTGTAGCTGACTGACGTTTAACATCCAGCGTTGGCTTAAATGTATTGCTCAAGGCCACAGTGACTCAATTATTACAGAAATGAAACCCAGGAGAAAAAGGCTACTAGCCCTTTGGGTACTGTGGAGGTAGGTGTCCAGGTCTTTCAAATGTCTTTTTCCTCTTGAGACCCTTACTAAGATCAAAGTGGTTTAAAACACAACGCAAAGGAACTAAGTTAGTCATTTTTCTAACACCAGATGCTTTCACAGGAAGATAACAGCAAGTGGTTTTATGAGTTATATAAACACCCATCATGTAAACTGAGCTTTTTAAGCCATGAAAGTATATTAACCATGGAAAAATGTATCTTTTTCTGTTTCCTACACATTTTTGTTAGATTAGAAATGAGGGAGCTTCTCCTGGTGCCATTAGCGAATAGTTCTTCATCCCTACAATGGTGTTTTCTGCTCTCTGTCATGGCTTATATTCCTTATGGGGGAAGCCTTAAGATTTTGTTCTTAACAAATGCATACTATCCAATTGCAATGACATTTAAATATTGTGCAGATGTGAAAAAAATTACCTGCATACTTTGAATTGGAATTTCCATCAAAGCATCTGTTTTGTCTCTACATCCTTGAGGCCTATCAGGTTTGTGAAATTCATGAGTATTTATTTTGCCATGGCTCATGCTGGCCCCAGGATATGAACCCTGAGAATGAGTGTGATGCCAAAATGTTGTCAGCTGCATTATCCAGGCACTACTACTCCAGAAGTTGAGTCTGTCATGGTCCAAATCCCTACATTTTTATTTTTCTTTTCCCACTTATAATGGGTGCACTGTAATGGTGGGATCTTCCCTGGGATATAATTTTGGAACTACCCAGGTCTTTGTTCCAGAACACGAGTAATGAGTGATAGCAGAACCACATACGGTAGAACTGCTAATATGTAATTTAGGAAGAAAAGTGATTTTAAAACACATTTACTTTAGCACAGTTCATCAACTGGAGCACTGGAAGGAGCACTGAGTGGTCTCCCAGCCCTGCCTTGGTCTCCAGACCTTATAAGACTTGTTTGTCCTACAGCCTCCTCCTATCTACAGCCTGCAATTTATATTTGCACAAAGTTGTTGCTGGGCCTGTGCTATAACTGCTTTCCTAAGTCAACAGCTGCACCCCAGTGCCTTGGAAGGCTGGATTAGAGATGAGTTCTGCAGCTCACACAGTTTCCTTGGGCCTTTCCCAGGGAAGTAAAATAATTGCTTTCCTGCCTCATTCAGGCACTTTCTCCAGCCTCTACTGAGAAAAACACTGGATTTCATTGACTCCTCTTTCTGTCCTTTGGCCACTTGGGCAAAATGGACTACATCTTTTCATTTTCATTTTTTTCTGAAGCAGCAGATCTCAACATGGAGCAGTTGAGGATCTGCTTTGCCAGGGCTGAAGCACAGAACAGCTTAACACTTCTCACTGGGACACTGCTGGGTTCCCTCTGTTCTTGCAAAGAAAGGTTAAGATCCAATTAAATAAGAAAAAAAGTAATGATATTTTTGTCACTCTCTCCATCCAGACAGAAATTTGGGATTTCTAGAACCCCATTCTCTGGTAATAAGGATTATGAGAGCAGGAACAGGAGTTTGGGAGATCTGGCATACCTGATGTTTCTTTCATCCTCATAATCTGTGGCCACAGTAGATTTATTGCCCAGCTCCCTGCGAAGAGCTGAGGGGCACTAAATGCTTCTCTCCTGCTGCAGCACCCAGAGCTGAGTCCAGCTGCATCGCCTGGCGTGCAGCTCTGCAGGGCCGCTGGAGGGCAGGGCTGGCATGGCACACAGGCTGGAAGCTGTTGCGGTGCTCAGGAGCAGCATAGTCCCATATTTTGAGGCCCGTGCTCACTAAATCGACAGTAACATCTTCATTCCTAGGTCTTATTTCATCAGCAGTGAGTAGTGGTCCTTTGACCCTTACTTTCTTCATTTGCAATGTAAAACAGAACTAAAAGAACGACTTTTGCCTACTCCTTTGTTATTTATTTTAAAACATCCGAGCCATTTAGACTGTGATAAAAACCAAAGGAGTCTGTGTCACTATGCCGACAGAGCAGGGATGAATCAGGGAGGGTGTAAGCAGCTCCAAACCCAGCACCCTCTGCCTCAGCACACCCAGCTGCCCGCGTGAAATAAGAACTGGAAAAGCAACCCAAAAAACACCCTTCCTCTTAGCTATGAAGGAAGCCAAATCCAGGGCCTGGTGCTAATGAGGACAGTTCCATAAACACAATTGTTGGTAGGAAATGGCCTTATTCGTGCTGTGTGTCAGGGTCAGGAGAGCCAATGTGTCTCTTCGAATTAAATTCACAAAATAATCAGGGCAGCCTCTCATTAATTTTGCAAACCAGATTTGATGCAATTGGGAGATTTTTCACAGTAAATCAGACAGTTCCTACACTGGTGAAGGGTGCTTAAAAAGAAAGTTAAGCTCTGGAGTGAGTTGGGGGAAGGAAAGGGATGAAGGGGTCAAAAGTCAAATCCAGAGCTCTCCTCAGGCTTTTCTGAGCACTGAGGGTGTGATGCATTTCTGACAGCCCCTAGAGAGGCAGCTAGAGACAATGCCCACTATGAGGAAAAAGGTTTAAAACTTCCATTGAACCAATAAATGAATAAATAAAACCCTTAATTTCAAACACAGTTCACTTTTACTCAGCAGAAAGAAAAAAAGAATATGGTTTTTATCCATGGGGAAGTATGATCTATTGGAGCAGAAGAGAACATGGCAAAAGGGTAAAGAGGACTGTGAGTTATGAGGACAGGGGTACAGAGCCAAAATAAAATTCAGGAAATAAGAGAGTAGGAAAGAAGAAAAACAGAAATAATTGTGGATGGAATGCTGTCTTTTTAATGTAACTTGTAGACTCTTTTTTTTTTTTTTTTAAGAAGAAGAAAAAAGATGTAACCACGTGTTTGAGGTCTATGATGAACAGGCAGTGGAAGGAACTGAACAACATGCAGAGGGGAAAGCTGAAGGTCAACAAATCCCCAAACTTCTCCAGCTCACAGGACAGAAACAAATAGGAGCCCTTGTAGAGGCTGTAGAGAATGTCTCTGCAATGCCAGGAGAGGCAGACCCACCCTTACAGCTGCACAGCATAAGGACCGCAGTTAGTGGGTGTTTACCTCTCCACCACTGGGCTCAAAGGAGCAGACCTCGTACTGTTCTGCCATTGGGATGAACCCTAATGTATTTGAGGCCCTGAAGAGGAATTTGTTTTAGAATTCAAAATAATGCATAGAATGTGCCATTTTTCTCGGTCTCTTAGCTGTAGGGAGGCAGGGAAGAGCAGATGTTTCTCTGCCTGTGGCTCTGCTCCCCTTCAGCACACAGGTATGTGTGTGTGCAGGGCCTTAGTCTGCTTGAGAGCATGACACCAGGATGGCTGTGTGGCAGTATCTGTGCAGTGGCACACTAGTGTTGGCACACATTTGCTTTGTGCAAATCAACACAAGTTTCTGCTGTGCATGCCTCAGGTTTTCTGCAGAGGTTTCTGTGACAGGCAGGGAGTCATAGAGTGGCTGGGGCTGGTAGCCATCTCTGGGGTTGTTGCATTCTGATTCCACTGCTCTGAGTTGCCCAGGACTGTTCCAGTTGTGTTTTGAGCATCTCCAAGGCTCCATAATCTCACCATCACTTTCAAAGTAAAAAAGTTTTTATTATGTTCAGGCTATGTCCCAGTTACCTGCCTGATTTTTGTCTTTAGAAATGGATTCCAGGGTCCATCACCTTCCAAGGGTCTGAGGTGGGGCTGAACAACCAGTTATTTCACAGGTTCTCCTTCCTGTCCTTCTTGAAGACTGAAGTGAAATTTGCTCTCTTCCTGTGCTCAGGAGTCTCTCCCAGCATCCATGACCTCACAAAGACAATTGGGAATGGCTTCATGATGGCACAGCCAGCTCCATCAGCACCCATGGGTGTATCCCATCACATCCAGTTTGTTGAAGTGTTCTCTCATGTGGTCATCTTCCACAGAGACAGAATCATTTTTGCCCCATACTTGATGTTTTTCAGTTTTTCAGGTGAAAACAACTTCTGATATTTGCTACTGGAAAGTTTTAAGTATTTATTCATTCAGATAACAAAAGCATATGTCCAGCCTTATCCAAAATTTCACTTGGTCTTATTCACACCATGTTGTCCTTTAATGCAGCCTTGTCTTTCTTCCTTATGGTTTCTCTTGTCCTAAGTATTGGGAGCCAAAAATTGACCTGAAAATAAAGAAATATGATGTTTAGGTCATAGTATTTCTGAGTTACAGTTCACTCAGACACTGTAGTCAGTACTGAAAGCTATTAAAAACGAAAAAAAGAAAAAGCATGGCCACATCTGCAGCAGCATGTAAATGTTTGCCTTAAATATTTGCATGCGTATTTTTCCATTTCTACATATATATGTCTAGATATGGAATTAATGTTTTTACAATTGAAAATTTCTATTTCCTAATGGTATTTGCATTTCCAATACCATTGTGCTTTTAAAACAGAAATATATTACCTTCTGTTTTCCCAAATAACAACATGTTGTACAGCACGAAGGGTCTGCTCACAAATGCCTGATATTTGCCATCTGCATTCCAGAAATAAGCTTTGTACTGCAGATGCTTATCAGACATTTGTGAAAACAAGTTTCTCCTCAAGTTGGACTCGATGATCTCTTGAGATCTCTTCTACAATTCTGTTAGAGCTCAAAGTCTTTGCAGCACATACCCATTGGGGTGTATCCATTTTGTGGCTGATGCATAAGAATTGAAGGGCAGAAAAACACAGTTTTGTAATCTAATTTTACCAGTAGGCAAGTTGTCTCCCGCCCTTGTGTAGGCAAGCACTGCTTAAAGTCTATTAGCACATACTTTAAATTAAGCAGCCTTTAGGTATTTCCTGGATAGGAGTCTGCCTACGATGCTGAGAGAAGGAGATTGTTTCCATTGTGCTGATGGCTTACCGTTCTAGCAAACACATTCTTGACAGCTTTCTGTTGTATCTTTGCTCTTTCCTTGAGTAATTTTGCATGTAAATATTGTATCCGCTTTGTCTCCACGTCAGGATAAAATGAATTTGACACAAGTATTTTAAGCTGGGTCAAGAGGCCAGAGGATAACCCAAAAATGATTAAGAAGAAGATGATTATTCCAAGCTGGAGCCATGTCGTGGAGAGGTGGAATTCTGGCTGAGGGATGCAGTTATTCTTAAACAAAGAGATCTTCAAAAGATCATTCTTTGCAATATGCTCGTTCATGACAATGATAAGACTATTCTTCTGCACAAGAAAAAGGGGAAAAGAGAGTTGAAGATAGTACTGGTTCTCTCCTTTATAATATTTCTCCTATTGGATATTCACCTTTCCTAAGGTCCATTAATGGTCTAATCCATCCAGTGCCTATGAATAACAATATATTTATTAGCTATTTTAAAAATATTTCAAACTGCATTTTCTCCATTTCTCCTGGGGCAATGTCCTACAATTACATTTTTAGTAGCTCTGCCAGAAGAATGTTTAACTGCTCTGGCTGCAGTGGTTTAATTTATTCCCACCCCCATGAATCTGCTCAGATCCTCTGCTGGGGAGACATTCTTTGTGAGTAACGCCATGGAGCAGAGCATGCCCATCCCCTTGGCTCAGTATTTGATGAGCAGTGCTTCTGCATCCACCTATATATGTAGCTGTAATGGCAATGGTCCTCTTTCAAACAAACGTATGAATTACAAAGCCATGAAGAAACTGTCAGTTATTGGCTCTGCTTCTGCTCCTGCAGCTGCTGAAAATGAAGGGAAAGTTTTCAACACTAAGTTAAAATGAGAAATATAAAGTACAGATAAGTACTTACTTGCTGAGAAAGTCTGAGTTGAATCTCCAGATCTGGTAATTCTTGGAGATGTTTATTCACATAAATGATTAGCCAATAAAACAAATAATCTACTGCAGCAAACAGAAGCCAGACACAAAGATGAATAAATACAGGGAGAAAAAAATGCTGCATCTGTTTTCTCTCCTTCCTTGTGAAGCTGAAAGATGGGATTGTCACGTAATTCTTTCTTTCCTTTTTGTTAAGTGGCAGAAGGCATGGCCTTTGCTGTTGCTTTTGATGCTCATCAAATGTGATGAACCGTTTTGTGATATAAGTATTCTTAAACTTGGCATTATGAGAGCCCACAAAACGTTTGATAAAAAGCACAGTTCCAAAACAAACTAAAAGAATCCCCACTATGGGCAATACTTTCTGGCCTATACAGGGCAATATATTCAGCATAAAAGATATCTGGTTAGCAACTCTCTGGATTTCTTGTTTTGTGTCATTCAGCTCTTGCTTCAGTGTATCATCCGAAATTGAGTAAGATGGTGTAAACTCATGCTTTATAGTCACAGAAAGTGCGTTGGTAGGAAGATTGGCCATCTCGTAAATCCATTTTACAGCCTCAATGTAATACTTTATCAAGTCAAATTTCTCATACTCTAAATGGCAGGTTATGCTGTCTGTCAGAACCTTTAGGTTGTGGAAAATGCTTTGGATGTTGCCAGCTACCACAACACCTGTACCAGCAGTAAGGAGAGCATTCTTTCCCTCCCGCAGCCCACAGGAGAGAAGGAATAGGGCACTGAAGCAGCGCAGGTGCTTGGAGAAGCAAAGAGCGATGGAGAGTGAGACCCAGATGAGGCCACAAAGCAGCAAGAGACCCGTGGACTGCTGCTCCAAGGAGACATGGATGCTAAGAAAGAGGAGAACACTTAAGAGGAAGCCAACTGCAGAGCAAATGGCAAAAAGCTGTATCAGGTACTTCCAGCCAAGCCTCCTTTCTGACACAAACACTCCCCAGGCTTTCTGGGCTGCCAAGGCAAATACTCCCATTTTCTTCTGATTGTTGCTGACACTGAACAGGCTCAAACTAAAAAGAAAGGAAAACAAAAATGCTGTTAGATGCGGGGTCACAGTACTGACAACAGGGCATATTTGATTGACAGCTTCACATCACGAAAAATACAGATCCGACTCATGTGGCAGCTGAACTGCCCCAATGAGACCCAAATCTGAATCTCAGTATAGATAGAATCATAGAATCATGGAACAGTTAGAGTTGGAAGGGACCCTTAAAGGTCATTTAGTCCAACTCCCCTGCAATGAGCCGGGACACTTACAGCTAGAGCAGGATGCTCAGAGCCCTGTCCAGCCTGGCCTTGAATGTCTCTGGGGATGGGCATCCAACCTCCTCTCTTGGCAACATGTTCCACACATACCAATGTGTAGGGGATGATTATGGGGAGCAGTGAGATGGGGAGAAGAGAGATGGGAAGCAGTGAGATGGAGAACAGTGAGAGATAAGGAAGGAGGATGGAGGGCTTCTCCTTCCGCTGGAGGTAGGTCAGTACAGACTGAGTCTCAGAGGCATTATTCCTTCACTAGGTCTCTCCTAGGACAGCATATTGGCCCACATATATGGTTAACTCTAATTGCTCATTCTTCTCACCTTCTCTGCCTACAGCATGCCCACACTGTAAATTAATTCAATCTGATGGGAGACTGTATTTGCTCCATATTCACATCTTTCCTGCTTCCTTGTAATACATTTTTAGTGCCTTTCTTTCCTAATTTATATGCTTATTAGCCTTTTAACATACTAGAACAAATAAGATACTAATTAAATAAAATAAACTGTTTCAATTTTACCCTGTAATAAGGAACAGTTGCCTTCACAAATACATCCTGAAGATATTACTTTGTCTTTTGTTTAGCTTGAACACAGCAGGTAGCCAGGAACCAAACAATTATTTTATAGACATGCTGTATTTTTCTGGCATTTGACTTTATGAATTCTGCCAGCATTTACTGTGCCATTTTCCCCTTCCTCTCCTTATTACTGTTTACCGGTTTTGTTTTTTTTCTGTTGCCATTGGCTGTGAATGCAACAGGAGCAGGGGATGAGCAGGGCAGGCAGATCCTCCCCAGTGCTGAAGGATACCCTGAGAAATGCTGAAGACTCTGGGTGCTTCCCAACCCCAGCAAGGATGGGAGGTGGGCAGCAACAGAGTGGTCTCAGTCCCTGGCACAGGCTTGGAAAGGCTGCTTCCCTCCAGGGCCTCAGCTGTGAGTAACAGCACATAATAGCTCTTTTACAGGAGAGAAATTAGTTAATGACTGTCCAGGAAGTGTTCAGCAGATGTATGTAGAAGTCCCCCTGTGTTTGGGAAAGTGGTGTAAGCAAAGTGGGGAGAGGAGGCAGCACACAGGAAACCAGGCTCCAGCTTTTCAGGATCTTTAAGCACTGCTGCACATTCTTGTACATCAAAGAGAGGTAACCTTTGGCAGTGAACAGACCTGGAGTTCTGTTCTTGATTTTAGAAGTCATAAAAAATCAACTGCAAAAACTTTTCACATGTATGTAACATTATGCAAAGATACTGAGAGTATCTGCGTTTTCTTTTACAGCATTGCTGTTCTCAATCAGTCTTGTGTGTTTGCATGTATGGTTGTTGTTCATTCTTGTCAATGTTAAATAGACTTTAGGTAAATGACATAGGAGCCATCCATCGGTTTTTGGAGCCTGTGGCAAACACTCAGGTGTCTGCCTGATGGCTGAAGGTTGGAAAATTTGCACGCATTCCTGACTCCTGCAGAGCCTGTCCCAGATCTCAGCAGTGCCAGGGCTGAGCCGTGACTCAGCACCTCAGCTGGGTGCTCTATTTTCTCCATAGGACATCAGCAGCAGAAGTAAATATTGAGTGCAGGAGAAGCACACAAAGGATGAAAAGTGGAGGCCTAAAAGATCATGGAGACCAAAAATTCTTAAACAGCTGTGAGTGCTTCAGAAGGGAAAATAACCTCCTGGCTCAGAGTTAGAAATAAATCAGTGAGCTCAGTGCCTCAGTGAAAGAGGCTAATCCTGTGCTCAAAGAGAAACCTTGAGAGCTTTCTGGACTGTTTTCTTTTGAAAACATAAACCACGAAAACTCTCCTAAAGCTGCTGGGTGCAAATAGGAATTCTACCAGGAGGGTGACAGGAACAAAGCCTTCATTTCATTGCAGTCTGAAGCAAAGCAGATTTTTCTTCTGTCCCATATCATGTACCGATGTGGCACTGCTACCTTTATTAATGTAGCATAAGGAAAGAATTTGTCTGGAAAAGCAGTTTCTTCTTTTTAAGTGCCAAAATCTTTCCACCATAGTTTTCTTGTGGCATGCACCACAGAGGGGAGCTGGAAACTGCCTTTGAACCTGGGTTTCCTGCAGAACCCAAGGGGAAACCCTCTATGCCTTAGTTTCCCTTGCTGGGAAGTTCTTACTCAAATCTGGAAGTATGATATTCATCCACCATATGGCATGCTGGCAGGAGTAATTATGAGAACAAATTCTTTTCAGCAAGGAATTTGGTCCATGCTTCTTAAGGCTTGTGATGTACTGAGATTAAGGCAATGTAGTTAAGAGGTATTTAAGTTCATGCTTATGATATTTCAGATATTGCCTACAGATTTGAAATAAGTGGAAAAATAAGTGCATAGCATCGAGCATCCCTAGAAAATGTTTTTCTGGTTCAGCCACAAGCTTTCAGCTAAAGCTGTGTCATTGTTGTATATGCCTATTCACACCATGTATGATTTGTTTCCCTGCCTACCGTGGTTATTTTGTGGTCACTGTCCAAGCAGTATGGTCGTCTTCACTGCTGATTTGACCCTGCTTCAGCCCCTTATTCTGATGAGCAATCAGAGCTCAATTTCCACTATATGGATTAGCTCCAGGTTTGTCTGAGTTACATCTGTGCCAAAACAGGAAGAAGGCTTAAAGATGTGATGGTGTTTGTCAAGCTTTGCTAAATAAGATTTGTCCCTGCTGTCTGTCTTCATTTATAACTTATATCCACCACCCAAAATATTTCGTGAAAGCTATTAAATTACTAAGTCCCATTACAAATAGCTAAGTTGCACTGCAACAGTTAGGCAGCATGGTGACCTCATTGCAGCCTTTCAGTACCTAAAGGGAGCCTACAAATAGGAGGGGAGTCAACTCTTTGAAAGGGTAGATAATAGCAGGACAAGGGGAAATGTTTTTAAGTTGAGGGAGGGGAGATTTAGGTTGGATGTCAGGGGGAATTTATTCACTGAGAGTGGTGAGGTTCTGGAACAGGCTGCCCAGAGAGGCTGCGGATGCCCCATCCATCCCTGGAGGTGTTCAAGGCCAGATTGGATGGGGCCCTGGGCAGCCTGGTCTAGTATTACATGTGGAGGTTGGTGGCCCTGCATGTGGCAGGGGGGGTGGAGATTCATGATCCTTGGGGTCCCTTCCAACCCAGGCTATTCTGTGATTCTGTGATTCTTTTTCTCACTATAAATTTCTAGGAAACAGTAGCTTCTTCCATTATATTAAGAAAAGAGTTTGCATGGGTGACTCACCCATACATTGTAAATTTAGGTCTGGTTGTAATTCCTAAGCAAGCAATAGCCTGGGTAGAAACAGTTTCAGAAATACTCTCTTGCAAATACAAGGAGCATCCATGTAACTATAGCAGTCATCACAGCAAGTGGCTATGGCAGACCAAATCCCTGAAGACACTGAAGGTGAGGCTGGACAGGGCTCTGAGCAAACCGATGTAGCTGTGGGTGTCCCTGTTCACTGCACAGGAATTGGACTAGATGACCTCTAAGGTCCCTTCCAAATCAAACAATTCTACGATTCTGTGGTTGGCAGTGAAGACACTGCTCTCCACAGGACAGCTTTATTTGAAAGAGTTCAGTAGGAGCGTGGCTGTGCAGACAGCCGTGCTGTGCCCCAATCTCAGAGCACAAGTCACCACAAAAGGGAGAGATCAGGTGGAATGGGAGACTTACACCTCCTTGATGGTAAAGTGTTGGCTACACAGCGCTCTTTGCCTCATAAATCCGATTTGGATTTTACACAGGAATTAGGAAAAAGGGCACAATAAGAACATAAAAACAAATATTTCCTTTTTTGGCAGTGTCAGCAGCCTGCTTTCCCAGCCTGGATGGGCTGGGAAATTCTCTTGCACTGAAATGTAAGAGAATTACTTCCCTTTTTTGGATACCATCAGAAAAATACGATGATAAACTAGTCTTAGCAAGAGACAAAAATACAAGAGGTAGTCTCACATTACTTCCCTTGGTTAATGCAGGGCATTCAGCAAAGAAATAGAAGTCCAATCAAAAATCCATCAAGATGGATGGAACTACCTCAGGGTTTCCTTAGTAGCCTGCCATTTCTTGTGTTCACATTCTTAGGTCCTCTGCAGGAGGAAGGAGAGTAAATCATATTTTACACAACAAACACAGGTGATGATTTAAATACATGTGAAATATTAAATGTATACACTTAGGAATTTGAAAGAGTAAAAAACACAGCCACAGAAATACAATAACGTACAAAAAAAAGGGCCCCATCAAAAAGCATAACAACACAAGTAAAAAATCATAACTGATCAAGATATCTTTTTCTTCTTCTAAACACTGGATCAGGAAAATTATGAACTTTGTGAAGTATCATCAGGTCTTTAAGATGCTACTAATTAGTTAAATGTGATCTAACACCAGATGTCAAAACTGTAATATTCACATCCGAACTAGCTGTGTCAATGTCAGTGAGAAGCACAGCTTTCCAGAGCCAAACTTTAGACCTGATTTAGAAGCCCATGCTTGTGTCACATGAATTGCATCCTATGAGAGCTTCTTCCCTATATTTACTACAAAAAGCCTCCAGAGTGCTCAGAGACAGCTATTTAAAGTCAGCTGTATCAAATATTCTATGTTTCTCCTTTGTAAGCACGGGTACTTGTTGGCTGAGCTGAGTGCTCAGAACAGGACATAGCACGTATTGCGAGCAACTGTAGAATCTGGGCAGCTACAGAAAGAACAACAAGTTTGAAGTCATGCTTTCTCAAGGATGCTGCTGCGGACGGTTTGGAGGACTTGATGCAGCAGACCCATGGACGTGCTTCTCTTAAAGCAAAGGCAGGAATAGGGGCACAGTTTCAGAAAATAAAACGGTAGTTTTCCTATTGAAAGAAAACAACTCTAGAAAATACCACTGTCAAGGAGGGCTACACAGTCCCTTCCCCTGTATTTTACATCTCTGTATTATAGGCAGAGCCTAGCTCTATGCTGTTTACAAACCTTAGGAATAGACCATCCAATCAGTAAGGTGGAAACAACTAACTTAAAGCAAGTTCTTTTACCTTAGAAGAACTAACCCCCTCCATCTTTACTATCCACCATTACTTGATACTATCCTAAAGTACTACTTACAGACCTTCCTGTAAAGCACATGAAGGATCTTCTAAGTGCCGTGCTTCTTGCTTTTGGTGAGGAACCAGGATGGGTTCTAACAAAAAATAACATGAGTAATTTCTTTTCCATACCCTCCCTCGATGAGTCAAGCATACCACAATTTTGAAACTACTCTACTTTTGACTAAGATTCATAAGGAAGTAACTTATGCACGAGAACAAATATAGTATATAATTTGCAAGTGCCAGTTTCCACCTTTTTTTTCTGGCAGAGTAATAGATAGCAGCAAATGAGTTCTGGTCTCAGATTTCAATGTCTTAAAATTATGTCAAATAATTCCTTAGGTCTGGAACATCTCGGCTATTTTGGTGCTTCCCATTGAAACTTGCAGCAATTCAGTGCCCAGAGAACTTTGAAGCTCTAAGTATTTTTACTCTAGAAATGTTCTTATAGAGACCTTTATAAATATTGTGCCCCCAGCACAAGAAGGATATGGAGCTGTTGGAGCAGCTCCAGAGGCGGCCATGAAGATGAGCATAGGGCTGGAGAACCTTTCCTCTGAAAACAAGTTGAGGGAGCTGAGGTTGTTCACCCTGGAGAAGGCTCCAGTGAGACCTCATTGAGGCTTTCCAGTACTTGAACAGAGCTAATAAACAGGAGGGATTTTTTTACAGGTTCTGAAACTGACAGGACAAGAGTGAATGGTTTTAAACTAAAAGAGGAGAGATTTAGGTTAAATGTTACAGGGGAGTTTTGCACTCGGAGCACAGGCTGACCAGAGAAGCTGTGGACGCCCCATCCTTGGAAGCTTTCAAGGCCAGGTTGGACATGGTCCTGGGCAGCTTGATCCAATGGGTGGCAATCAACCCATGGTGGGGGGTTGGAACCAGATGGTCTTTAAGGTCCCTCCCAACCTAAGCCATTCTATGATCTGATATGATTGGTATGATATGATATGATATGATATGATATGATATATGATATGATATGATATGGGAACACAACACACAGCAAAGACTTCTATTAACTCTGGATTTATTCAGTAGCTAAATAAGATCATATTTCTTAAAACTTTCTGGAAAATCTATAAAAATTTTGTTTTGCTTTAATCAAGCCTTTGGCAATTCTAAATTTTACTTTAAACGAACTACTGTTTTTTTGCGAACACTGTGTTTTGTGTGTATATTTGTGTGTAATGGAGGAGGAATTCTTTGACACCCATCCTCTCCTCTTGAAATGAGTCACACAGGTCTTATCAGTTCTTAGATGGATCCATTGAACTGGGTAGTCCTTTCCTTCAGTTTCCATCAGAGCTACCTGATAAAAGAAGACTACAGACTTACTTGAAAGGAAATCAAAGGCTGATTATATCTTTTGAAATGGATAATAACAGTAACAGTAGTAAGAGAATCCTTATCCACAATCTACTCAGTAAATGCCTATGATACCTTTCCAATAATATCTTCTTTAGATTGTCTTTTACAGCCACTTTCAGAACTTACTTGCGTTTACAGCTTCATTGTTTCTGTTTAAACTTCCAGAACAATTTTTGGAATAAAATATGCCTGGTGGTTTTATCAGAAATCTCCTAAGTCCATTGCAGAAATGTTATTTGCTAGACCTAAGGAATTCTAAACTGGATATTAGCTTTCATTTAAATTCTGAATTCAGAGATCCAGGGTTGTACCTCAGGTTTAGTCTTGTCCTCAGTCTATTTGTGAACTGTAGATTCCAGCGGGCAACAACAGAAGTGTTGGCATGAACATTATCTATTTGGCCTTGGTAGAAATGGCTCTGTGTGTAATTTTACAAATAACTGGCTTTCCAGCAGGCACTGAGAGCACTGGTTCACTGTATGACCAAGCTCCCCCTCCACAGAACAGCCATACCCCTGCTACTTCAAGAGCAGCTACTGCACAAGTTCATCAAGTCCTCAGGCAGCAAGATGAAAATAGAGTAATACTTATAGCATCTAAATTATGCATAATGTAGAGATATAATTAGATATAGTGGACCATCCATAACTTGAGAAAGTTTCTAAAGTTTCATTATAGAAGGAATTAATTAAATTATCCTTTGAGCAGAGCATATTGTTCACAGTATCATATAAGAGAAAATTCTGTAAAGTGATCCAGATAAGGGCATATTAAGGCAGACAAAGACTCTATCTAACTCAACTTATTAGCTTCAATTCAGCATGTAGCAGGTGTTTAGAGATTCATAGAATGGTGACCCTGCTTGAGGAGGGGAGCACTAGATCAGATGTACTCCAGAAAATCTTTCCAACAAAGAATAGAATCAAACAGTGGTTTGAGTTGAAATAGACCTTAAAGATCACCTAGTTCCAATCCCCTACCATGGTCAGGTTAGCCACCCACCAGATCAGGCTGCCCAAGGCTTCATCCAGCTTAGCCTTTAGCAATTCCAGGGATTGGGGAATCCACAATTTCTCTGGGCAGCCTGTGCCAAGTGGAAACCCTGCCCAAGGCATGGGGCTGGAACTAAATAGTCTTTAAGATACCTTCCAACTTAAGTCATTATATGATTCTATTTTGTGATTCTAACCTAAATCTTCTGATAGTTTAAAACCGTTTTCCCTCGTCCCATCACTGTTAAAGAGTGCCTCTTTGTCTTTCCTATAAAGGCCCCCTTTACTATAGTAAGGAAGACAGCTATAAGGTATTCCCAGAGGCTCCAAACTAAATAACCCCCAACTCTTTCAGCCAATCTTCCTAGGAGAGGTGCTCCAGCCCTCCAACCATCCTCATGGACCTCCTCTGAACTCACTCCGACAGGTCCCTGTCCTTCTTATGTTAGAGCCCTGAAAGCTGAAAGCAGTACTTATGGTGGGGGTCTCACAAAAGCAGAGTAAATGGATAGGACCACCTCCTTCAACCTGCTGGTCACACTTCATTTGATGCAGCCCAGATACGGTTGGCTTTCTGGGCTGCAAGTGTAGATCGCTGGCTCACAGTCAGATATTTTCCCCAGTTGTACCCCAACGTCCTTCTCCATAGGGTTGTTCTGAATCTACTCATCCATGTATCCATGTTTGGGATTGCCCTGATTGCTGCTCAGCCTCTAACTCTGCCTTGCTGGTCTGTTCAATTTCTGCAATACTGATCCAGCTGCAGCACCTTGATCATGGCCTTGTTGAGCTGCATGATGTTCACACACCCATCTCTGTCCGAGTCCCTTTCTTCATCCTTTATTGTTTCAAGAACATGGAACTGTGGGCACAATACATGTTCAAATGAGTCCTAGAAATGAAGAATGCAAGTGCTCATAGCCTTTCTTGGTCTTTCACAGTCAGTATGCAGCAACTCTCAGCACACCTCTCGAGTGTGCTGGTGTCACCGCTTTTGGGAGAGTTCCTTTACAGCAGAATATTTCAGTGACCTTCAAAAACTGTGGTACCGGTACAGCTGTGAACCACATCCTCTTGGACCAAGATGGATACCTGCCAGCCTACAATTCCCACATCCAAAAGGTCACAAACTACAGCAGCAGCCTCTGCTGCAGCATCATTTTGTCTTGCTAACAGCTGCTGGGGCTGCCTGATTCCTGGACTTCCCTGCTAATATTTTCCAGTACTGAGCACCATGAAATAGGAAGAACTTACATTCTGCTAATTTGAATAACCATACTATAAAGGCTGTGGTTTCTTTCTTCCCCTCGATCTGCTGGTGCAGTATGAATCTCACTGCCTGCATTAAAAAAGTGAGGTTGGTTTAAGAATTTTCTCATTTGTTTTCTCAATCTCTGCACAAAGACTAACAAAATTTGCGTCCACATAAAAAGTATTAAAAATGGCATTGCTGAAGATCCTACTGCTCTAGCAGTTCCTGAATGAATTTCAGCTGATAATGATGCTGCTATTAACACAGTTTTGGTAACTCAGGGATTTCTCACTATTTTAATATGCAAGCACAAAGTGTATTTCTTTGAGCTTTTCTTTAGGACTCTGAACATTACTTTCTTCCTTGACATATCCATGTGCTGCAAGAACAAAGCAAGTTTGGAACTGAGAACACCGTGTCACATTTAAACCATTTGTTATTCTGTTCTGCCTGCTTCTCCTTAAGGAAGACTGGCTTGCAATACTAGTCCTTCCTTGTGACTGGCTTCCAGAGAGCCAGGAAAGAAACAAAGATCTGTATTTGTAACTATTTGTGGTCTTGTTTTTACTCCTGGTTTTAATTATTGCTTCTGTTTTACTGCTACGGCAGAAATTTAGATTAAAATAAGGCAATTGCATTTTCTTTTCTAAACATCAGAGGAAATGAAATAATGACAGTGGATCACTGCTTGCACTGTGCGGATCTGCGCCGGATGAGCAGTATGTCTGGAGCCAGCCATGTAATGGCCAGGAGTAAATGGTTCCCAGAGTGAACCGGGATTACAGAAACTCACTTCTGATGGGGCCCACTGAAAAAACTGATTCAAATACTGTTGAGTTTGATTAAAGTTTCATTTGATGTTGGTAGCTGAAGTTGACTTTGTATGATATCATGTCTTTGAGTTACTATGAAAAGTAACCTGGTGCTTGCTATAAAGAAACATCCCTGTAGAGTCAGCTGAGGAAGAGCTAAAGGCAAAGTTCTTAACAGTCTGTAGCAAAGCAGGAAGTTTTCACCTGGATATACACTATTGATTTCCACAGAAACACTCCCAGCTTGATCATAGGATAATCCTGATACCTCCCCATGGGTTACTACTTGAGTGTTCAGGAGATATCATGAAGTGACTGTCCTCAGCACAGATTTGTTTTTACTACTGTATGTTACTTTATATTGTTTATGCTTCATTATCTTCTATGACAGAGATGCCACTCAACAAATTATGCAGACAGCAATAGCTAGTATCTCCAACTGCAGACAGAAGAAATATTTTTAATGAATAATAAAATCAATATTTAAAATAACATAGCATTTCATAGATATAATGAAAATCTGCACCTACCTAGCTAGCTCTGCTGAAAAAGAGGATGCAAGGTTTGTGAGAGATCCTGGGTTAATTATATGATATGATCTATGATAAAAATATTACTGAGAGATACATTCTTACAGGGATCGTGGCTTCTTGTGAGATTTTTGCCCTTTACACTAAAGCCTGACTTTTGGGCTTTTGTGGTAATTCCTCTGGTACATTC